AGGGGGCGGGGCGTGATGCGAGCACTTGCCTTCGGTTGGCGGACGGGCTCGGGGGGACGGCGTGCGATTGGTCGGACTGGCTTTTCCGCTTCCGGGTCTTCAGCTTCTTCCGGGTCACACCAAGGCCGGCCTGTCTGAGGGCTTGTGCGGTTGCCGACCTTGCGGCCTGAAGCGGAGCAAGCGAGCGAGTCACGGTCCATCCGCTGGGCAGTCATGGTGTCCTACTGGAGGCAGGCCGGGCTCAGGTAGAGTTGGCTGAGGCGAGCCGGGCCTCCTCTTTCTTTCCTCCTCTGGTGGCTCCGGGCGGCTGCGCGGTGTTTGCGTTGACTTTTGAGCGTCTCTTTCTCTCTCCTTCCAGCTACATCCGCTATTCCCAGATCTGCGCCCAGGCCGTGAGAGCAGCGCTGAAACCGCAGTTTAAAGCGGAGGCAGAGAAAACGGCGGGAGCGAACGTGAAAATAGTCAGAATAAAAAAGGAATGATGTGCAAGTAAGTAGAGATATTTGATGTTTGAGGTTTTTTTGCAACGAAGCTGCGGTATCAGGTGGAGGCCTTTCTCAATCCTGGTACTCTTTTAATTGGAAGTGTCTGGAGATGCATGCAAAGCATATTAAAGGTAAAGGGACCCCTGACCGTTAGGTCCAGTCATGGCCGACTCTGGGGTTGCGGCGCTCATCTCGCTTTATTGTCCAAGGGAGCCGGCGTACAGCTTCCGGGTCATGTGGCCAGCATGACTAAGCTGCTTCTGGCAAACCAGAGCAGCGCACGGAAACGCCGTTTACCTTCCCGCCAGAGCGGTGCCTCTTTATCTACTTGCACTTTGACGTGCTTTTGAACTGCTAGGTTGGCGGGAGCAGGGACTGAGCAACAGGAGCTCACCCCGTCGCAGGGATTTGAACCGCCAACCTTCTGATCAGCAAGCCCTAGGCTCTGTGGTTTAACCCACAGCACCACCTGCATCCCTGCAAAGCATATTATTCTACCATTAAACTCCGGCCCTCTCTTAAAGGGAGCGTATCTTCTTGTAAAAGCACCTGGCTTTTGCAGCCTATGCTCTGTAGGGTGTCCCCTTTAACAAAAGAGGCAAGCTTCAAAATGCAAGCTTGGGAGTATTTGTCTCCCAGTGAAAAACAGACATGTGATGATGTAAATCATGAATTACGTTGGTTTGTTTTGAGGTCTGTTCCATGTTTTATAAGATTTTTTTTTAATGCCCTGCCTGCTTATAAACTAGTAATTGTATTATATTTTTATTTTGTTTCAATTATTGATGGTTCTTTTCATACCCCTGAAGAAAGCTTTTACTGAAACACATTATGGAATTAAACACTTTATTTTGAGGCTTGCCTCTTTCTTGTTTCTTCATATTTGATGCTGCGTATTTTTCCTCTTCTTCCTTTAACAACTTCAAATATCCAGTCCTGTAAGCTCCTATGTGATTTATTCTCTACTAAGTAACTAAATATCACTGAAGGCATGGGACTGGAAGAGGCTAAACAGTAGCCAAGGTTCTACAAGTAAGATTCATTGGTTCCCTTATTTGTGGGTGTGGGTTTTCTGGGAAATCCTGAATTTGATAATTTTCATTTGGCCTGGAGATTTTTCTTATGGCCCAGACTTAACTTAGCAGGCTGAGTTTACTTGTTTTTAGTAAACAAAGCTATACAAAGTCCCCATGCTGATGTTTTCTTCCAATGTACCACAAGTATTTGACCTGAAATATTTGAGAGGGGAAATTGAAGCATACTCAGTGTGGTTTAAGTGTTACAGAATTGGAAGAGGTCCTGAGGATCATCTAGTCGAACCCCGCACAATACAGCTGTCGCATATGGGGATCGAACCTGCGACCTTGGCATTATCAGCACCATGTTCTAACCAACTGAGCTATACATCTGTAGACATTTTTATTGGAATAATTGTAAATATGTGAAGACAATGCTAGAGATAATTACCCAAAAAGACTTTAATTGAAGCTTTGAACATGCCATGCTTGATTAATACTGTATTTGTAATTGGCATGCATTCATTGTTACTAATGACTTTATAAAAAGGGAAATTTATCCCAGAGAAAAAAAGTACTAGGGGAAAAATCCACCTTTACCCTAATTAAGAAATTAATAATAATAATAATAAATTTTATTTATATCCCGCCCTCCCCAGCCGAAGCCGGGCTCAGAGTGGCTAACATCAAATGTATAATACATTATCATAAAATCAGACAATCAATTAAAATACATCCTCAAATCAGATCAGGATCAGAATAAAATCCAATCGGATGGCAACCCGCAGATTAGGGTTGGGGACCTTAAATGCTCACCAGGCCCAACTGTTTGTGCTGAACTTATATGGGCCTGTGAGAAAAATTGGGAGGCCACTTTCATGCAAGTTCTTATGAAAGGGGAGAGAGAGTCAGACTGAACCCTGACCAAAGGCCTGGCAGAACAGCTCCGTCGTGCAGGCCCTGTGGAAAGATGTCAAGTCCCGCAGGGCCCTAGTCTCTTGTTACAGAGTGTCCCACCAGATTGGAGCCACAGCCGAGAAAGCCCTGGCTCTAGTTGAGGCCAGCCTAACCTCTCTGTGGCCTGGGACCTTCAAGATGTTTTTATTTGAAGACCGTAAGTTCCTCTGTGGGACATACCAGGAGAGGCAGTCCCTTAGGTACGAGGGTCCTAGGCTGTATAGGGCTTTAAAGGTTAAAACCAGCACCTTAAACCTGATCCTGTACCCCACCGGGAGCCAGTGCAGCTGGTATAGCACCGGGTGAATGTGATGTGATCTCGCAGCGAGGACCCCGTAAGGAGTCTCGCCACTGCATTCTGCACCCGCTGGAGTTTCTGGGTCAGTCTCAAGGGCAGCCCCACGCAAAGCGAGTTACAATACAGTCTGGAGGTGACCGTCGCGTGGATCACAGTGGCTAGGTCAGGGCGAGAGAGGTAAGGAGCCAACTGCTTAGCTTGGCGGAGATGAAAAAATGCCGCCTTTGTTGTAGCTGCAATCCGCGCGTCCATGGAAAGGGAGGTGTCGAAGATTACACCCAAACTCTTAACGGACGGTGCTGGCACTAATTGCACCCCCGCAAGAGTTGCCCCCCCCCAATCTCATATTGTCCCTTCCCAGCCAAAGGACCTCTGTCTTTGAAGGATTTAACTTCAACCGGCTCCCACGTAACCATCCAGCCATCTGGCTTTTCTTTTGTTCAGTCACATTTATGACAGAATGTACTATTTGTGAATTGCTATGTTTGTATGGCAGCAACTACTAAATTTATTTCCTGATAATTTAAGTACTCTTAATTTGTTCCCTTTACACTAACTTAACAACTTGTGACTACAGCTACAGAATTAGAACCTTCAGATAGTGGACCTTATAACATTTGAAACCTCATTGCTGGCTATTTAACAGGAAGCTATTTTTTTGTAGTGCCATGTACTACCAATGTGCTGATCAGAAGGTTGGCGTTTGGAATCCACGTGATGGGGTGAGCTCCTCAGCTCCGTCCCAGCTCCTGCCAACCTAGCAGTTTGAAAGCACACAAGTGCAAGTAGATAAATAGGTACCGCTGCGGTGGGAAGGTAAACAGTGTTTTTGTACACTCTCACTTCCATCATAGTGTTCCATTGTGCCAGAAGCGGTTTAGTCATGCTGGCCACATGACCTGGAAAGCTGTCTGTGGACAAACACTGGCTGCCTTGGCCTGAAATGCGAGATGAGCACCACACCCCATAGTCAAGTTTGACTGGACTTAACTGTTCAGGTGTCCTTTAGCTTTTACACGTGGTTAAAACAATGCCAGATAAGTCCTTTGATAACTGAAACAGGGATGAGAACTGTTTTGCCACTTTTACATATCACTGTAAATACATACCAGAATAGGTGTTATACCTCAGAAGTTTGAGGAATAATATTAGTTTGGGGGCTCTCAGTTTTAATTGAAATTATATATTGTAGTATGACACTTAACTGCTTGTCTTAATTGTCTTACAGGACTTGATTTATAACACGCAAAATGAAGACTCATGAGTGTGCTTGTACGCAACATAACTGCTTCCTGCTCTGTGAAGGCTCACGGTATATGTGTAAAATCACTATGCCAATAAACAGAATGTGTTGAACATGTTCTTTGATTATTTTGTTGAGCAAGAACAACCAAACACTCTGCGAACTTGTACAGCATTTTCACCTACAGTTGGGTTTTACTAGGTTATAGTGAATACTCAATGAATTTGGTCTTTCACAACCTAAAGTAACAAAATACAAATCAGTGTTAAAAGCAAAATAAACTAATAATAAAGTGGTTTTTCTCTGGAAAGAATGATTGCCTATACTTTGAAAATAAATCTGTGAGCCTCCAGGTATGCAGTGCCTTGTGACATTGCCCAGAATTTTATCTTGTGCTGACATAATTAAGGCTGCAGTTCTAACACAGCTGGAAATAAATTCCATTGAACTCATTGGGACTTCTGAGTATGGATGTGTAGAATTTCACTGTAAATGCTCTTTTAAACTGGCTGATTGCTAAATGAACTGCTGATCAAATGTGAATAAAAAGGCATTTGGAACAAGGCAATGCACAAGCTACAGAAGTTATCTCTTTACTAGAGCATCAAGTAGCTTTTCTTTGCTGAAAAACAAGCAGAAGCCTTGAGCACCATCAGCTTCATCCTCAAGTTCCTTCACTGATCATTGTCACTAAGGAACCCCAAATTCAAACCCTGCTCAACACTGAAGTTCACTGCATGGCCTGCTCATAATCTCTGACTAACCTACCTCATAGGCTAGTTGTGAGGACACAATAGTGGAGGGAAATAGCATGTTTGCCACCCTGAACTCCTTGGAGGTAAAGTGGGATAAAATTTCTTTTCCAACTGACACAAACTTTCCTAACTAGCCAAGTTAGGCCTGCTTAGTAAACGTAAACACAAGGAACTGATAATTGCATTTTAAGGTTATGAACACAAAAAAGTGAAAGGAGTTATTTCCCCTTGCATAGAACGCTGAAACTGGATAAAAATGCAAGTTTTAGCTCGCTTTTTATTTGGTATTGCATAGTACTTGCAGTGAACAAATAGATATATAGTGAAAATGTTATGGTGAGTAAAATGATAGCTGAGTTAAATACTTGTTCTCTTTCACGCTGGAGAAAATGCTCGCAGCTCTGCATCTCCCCACCCCCCATTAGTAAAACCAGTTAAATAAAGGAATTAGACATTTTGCATAAACATTCAAGAGAAATTTGCACAAAAAGCTCAAAACAATCCTCTGTAAATACTGGACTTTACAGCCCCAAAGCAATGAGACTCTGAAATAAAGATCCTCCATAATGTGGAGTGAAACTGGAAGTCTAGCTGGTACCCTCTGAATGTCTCCTGGGAAAGAATAGTATGGGTGGCAGCAAAGCTTCATTCAGTGCTGCTGTTTATGTCATAGGGACTTTCTAAATAAATGTAGGTTCGTTACTAGGAATGATTTCAGAAGAGTCACCGGTAACTGTTTAGTCTTTGCAAAGCAAGTTCAGTTGCATCTTTAAGGCTAACAGAAAAATTGCAGGATAATCTTTTACTACAGGGAACTATTGTCTTTCCATGTGTGTTAATACTGCTTTCTAAGGTGCAGTTGGCTTGTTCACATGCTACAGTGAACTCAAGTGTAGGCTGACTACACATGTTTGTGAGACAGTGGACTTTGTGGTTTGTAACAGCTCAGCCATTGTGAACACAGACTACACTCACTGAGTGTGAATATTTGTATGAGTATGCAGCGCCAACTATTTTTGTCTATGGATTGTTGACTTGTTGAATGTGATACACAAACACCCCTGTTGACTTCCGTATGCGCATGTGTGTTCTGGGTGGAAATGGGATAGCCTATTGCTCCTTGCATTTTCTGGCTTTTCTTCCATGCACAAGTTTATATACACTTGCTGCCTGCAGTCATGTCACTGTTACTCAGAGGTAAGTCCCCATGTGTGTTCAGTAGAGCTTACTCCTAATGTAAAAATGCATAGGACTGCAGCCTTCATCAGATTCATAAAATGGTATCTCGAGTGCACTATAAACGTGTTTCAAATCTTACAGGTATAATAGGATTCTCAGCTAGCTTGATTAAAAGCAAGGGTACATTTAAGAATAAGCAAAGATATAGCTATTTAAAACCTATTACAATAATACATGTTCTGGTAATATTTAAGTATAATTAAAATACATGCAGGCTAACTACTTCTTAAACCACTTATGCACCTAGTTCAAATGGATATCTGTTTGCCATTTACAGGGTAAGCCAATCTTGATCCCATGGAAGTAATTCATTCTTTGATTTCAGTGGTGGAATGAAGCCATATTAATCCTACATTAATATTAGTGGTTGGAGTTAGGGTAGACAGACGTGTTTCTTTACACAGTACAGAGCATGTTAAATTAACTGATCATAACATGGTAATAGCCAATAGCTTGGGTGGCTTTTAAAAGAATTGGACAAATTAATAGGAGCTGAGTCTATTGATCAGGCATAGGCAAACTCTGCCCTCTAGATGTTTTGGGACTACAACTCCCATCATCCCTGACCACTGGTCCTGTTAGCTAGGGATGATGGGAGTTGTTCCAAAAAATCTAGAGGGCCGAGTTTGCCTATGCCTGCTATTGATTGTTGTAAACAGCCTTTGAGGCTCTTATTTTTAGAGTCAAAAGGCAGTAAAGAAATGTTTTATACATAAATTTAAATAAGTTTAGTTGGTTAACAAACAATCCTGGACTACTTGATGGACCTTTCTGGTTTCATCAGAAATTTCATCCCTTTACATACTTCCTCATATTATAGATTGGAGGCCTGACTCAGTGAAATTTAAAAACAGCTGTCCAGTTAACATAGCTGTAATACCACCTAAAGTGCAAGTCAGCTAAGGAGCTGCCATTTTTGTTCCTTGGAATCAAATGCCATTCTGCATTGTGCTGCTGTGGGGCTCAGGCCACATCCCTTCGGCTGCCCATCACAAAACTCCAAATACAAGGTATGTAAGCATGCTGTTGTACTGAAGTTCACTGGTGTAGAAATATGCCCAGTAAGAACATAACACTGGTCAGAATAATGAATGATGATAGAAACAGCCATGTACATTTGAATACCTTCCTTGGTAATTAACAAACTCATCTGACAAATGTGCATAAGAGGATGCTCACACAAGAAAGGCAAAAATTACAGTCACCCTGATCCTGCCGAACATCTTCATCAGGGTACTCATCCAGGCTCCATTAAACTAGGTTGATGTGTCTATGATGCAGACAGAGGTGTGCAACTTCCTCCAGGACCATGGATGGTTGCATCTGACCAGAGGGGAATTGAAGCCTTTTGTCTGTCCTTAACTACTTTGCTGCTGTCGGTCACCGTGTCATCCTTTGTAATCTGTTCCATCAACTGAAGCCCTGGGATATGTCCTTTAAGGCAGCATGCTGGTATAATTTTCCCCACTGGTCTAAAATGTCTTATTTGCATTAGATGCACTAATTCAGAAGAAATACTTAATTTAAACAGATTTCAGCAGGGCTTTTTCCCCCCCAGCTGGAACTCACTGGAACTCAGTTCCGGCACCTCTCAGGTGGGCGCCATTACCATTATAAGAGAACAAGGGAAGCGTTCATGGTGAGCTCCAGCACCATATTTTCTAGAAAAATAGCACTGGCTTTCAGTAGGAGGATTTTCTCAGAAAGAGACATTGCAGCCAACATTGTGGCTGTGTATGCTTTGGTTCAATGCACAAAAATGGCTGCTCCTGCATTAAGTAGACTAAAAGGTTATTTTAGAAACATAGGTAAGTCCAGCCACCTCACTGACGGTAACAATCAGCATTCCTTTCAATCATCACTCTTATTTTTAAGAAGCTTCCTTTTCTTCTTCTTCTTCTTCCTGGCTTGCCTCTGCCTCTGCCTCCACCTCCACATATTCTTCTACATCGGCTGTGGCATCTTGATACTGCTGATACTCGGACACCAAGTCATTAGTGTTGCTTTCAGCTTCAGAAAATTCCATCTCATCCATCCCTTCTCCGGTATACCAGTGCAGAAACGCTTTCCTCCTGAACATGGCTGAGAACTGCTCAGACAGCCTCTTGAAGATCTCTTGTATGGCTGTGTTGTTCCCTATGAAGGTGGCCGCCATCTTGAGGCCACGGGGCGGAATATCGCACACGGCCACCTTGACATTGTTGGGGATCCACTCCACAAACTGGCTGCTGTGCTTTGTCTGCACGGCCAGCAGCTGCTCATCCACCTCCCTGGTAGACATCTGGCCTCGGAAGATGCATGCCACCGTCAAGTAGCGTCCGTGACGCGGGTCACAGGCCGCCATCATGTTCCTTGCATCAAACATCTGTTGGGTGAGCTCTGGGACAGAGAGGGCTCTGTACTGCTGGCTGCCCCGGGCTGTAAGTGGCGCAAAGCCTGGCATGAAGAAATGCAGCCGAGGGAAAGGCACCATGTTGACCGCCAGCTTCCTCAAGTCTGCATTGAGCTGGCCAGGGAAGCGGAGGGAGGTGGTGACGCCACTCATGGTGAGGGACACCAGGTGGTTGAGGTCCCCATAGGCCGGCGAGGGAAGCTTCAGCGTTCTAAAGCATATGTCGTAGAGGGCTTCATTATCGATGCAGAAGGTTTCGTCCGTGTTCTCTATCAGCTGGTGGATGGATAATATGGCATTGTATGGCTCAACGACGGTATCCGAAACTTTGGGGGATGGTACTACACTGAAGGTGTTCATGATCCTGTCAGGGTATTCTTCTTTGATCTTGTTGATCAGAAGGGTGCCCATTCCAGACCCAGTCCCACCACCAAGGGAATGGGTCAGCTGAAAGCCCTGCAGGCAGTCGCAGCCCTCACACTCATTCCTCACGACGTCCATCACGCTTTCAATCAATTCGGCCCCTTCAGTGTAATGGCCTTTTGCCCAGTTGTTCCCGGCGCCAGAATTTCCTAGAAGAAGAGAAGAAGAGTTTGGATTTGATATCCCGCTTTATCACTACCCTAAGGAGTCTCAAAGCAGCTAACATTCTCCTTTCCCTTCCTCCCCCACAACAAACACTCTGTGAGGTGAGTGGGGCTGAGACACTTCAGAGAAGTGTGACTGGCCCAAGACTGACCCAGCAGCTGCATGTGGAGGAGCGGGGAAGCGAACCCTGTTCACCAGATTACAAGTCTTCCACTCTTAACCACTACACCACACTGGCTCTCTAGACACAACGGAAAGGGCTAACTGTAACAGAAAATGCTGCTGAAACACTGAGCGCATGTTTAGGTTAAAAGTGGACATGACTAGATCTAAATATAAAGCAAAGGGATACTAGTCTTCAATGGAGCTAAGAGTGGAGGCTGTGGTATTATGTTATTGTTCTGCATAACTTCGCAGGTACTCCACTACAAACTTAATCGTGCCAGAATTTTGTTTTGTTTTGTTTTGTTTTGTTTGGAAAAGGAGGATCCTCAAACATGTTTGGCTTGTTATACTCTTGTTTTAAACTTTCCGTTTTTGCATTATTTTGTGGTCCTGTCTCTTTTTTTGTGGCAACCATTTTATAATATGCCGTTTTCACATGGCAGCCATTTTGCTGAGACTGGTACCTGCCCTGTTATCTTAAAATTCTCAATGTGGCCAACAGGCCCCAACTGGCTGGCGTCCCTCTGCCCTAAATGTGCTGAGAACAGCTTGTGTTTGCAACATGCAGAAAGGCTGACATGTACTGTGCTGCGTAATTTCTCTCTTTTTATATAGAGAAAACATGCATAGGAGTGGGCTGCTAGATTATATATTTTAGGGGGGGAAATATTCTAGTTTAGAAATCTTCAGGAAATTCAGATCTAGGCTTGCCTTCATGCTATCAAGGGTTTCAAAACTTATGCTAAACATTGACGAAATGTGCAACCGCAAACCCCAAATTGTCTTTCTAGAACAAGCTTTAGAATGAGTGTGCAAAGTGGTTATTGCTAACTATTTGGAAGCTGAAGCAATCCTTGATTCTCTGAGGGAACAAGATGTGGTCAATGAAGACATCCCACTTCTCCAGAACTCTTCTGCAATTTAAACATTTTATTTAAAAAAAAATCATCCCAGATCTTTTAGGTTTCCCCCCTGTAATCATGAGACCTATGAATATTTATTTTTTTATAAATACGAGTGGCTTCTTAAGTGTTCTGAAGCAATGAATAGAGAGGCTAGCTCCTCAGAGGCCCCATTTGATACACAACAACTTTATTTCTTACGAGACCATCATCTATTAAATTATATCCATATTATTAATGCGGCACACATACCATGAATAAAGTTATCGGGTCGAAAGAGTGGGCCTATTTTGCTGGACCTCACGCTGTCCATCGTTCCAGGCTCCAAGTCCACCAAGATAGCACGAGGAACATACTTGTGGGCTACAGCAAAAACGGGGGGAAGTTGAGGGTCATGATTGAGGCAAGTAGTATCTTCTGCATGTATTTCCTTCACAGATCATTTCTTTGGTGTACATATTTCATTTAGAACACTATAGCGCAGAAGTGAAAAACCTGTGTCCTTGAATATATTGCCAGAGTACAACCCTCAGTCAGGGCCGGCTCTACCATGAGGCAGCTCAGGTGGCAGATGCTGAGGTACAGGCAAGGAACAGAACTGTGAGTGCCTCATGGCGTGCCCTGTACCCCCTACGCTGGGCTGCTGCCCTCAAGTGCACTAGAAGACACTGTCCTTTCACCAGTATTGGACTTCAGAAGGAAATCTTGCTGTGTTCAATGGTGTTTACTCCTGAGTAAATGTGTCCAGGTTACAACTCCAGATATGAATAAAAATGTCATGTAGAGTGCAATCCTGTAAGTATCTACTCAGAAGTATCTACCTAGGAAAATGATGATAGGATTGCAGCACTAACCTCTTTTGCATCTTATAACCAGCCTCATATAACCAACATGCTTAAGGCTATTTAATGCATGAAGGAGTTAATGCCATAGAGTAAACTGTCCTGCTAGGCTTAGCTAGGTCACTCCCCCTCACCTTGGGAGGAAGGTAAATAAGGCTGTTGTTGTATCTCACTCTACTAGAGAAGGTAAATTGTGAGGAGGTCTGAGCTCGGTGCTGCAGCTCAGACCGCATGGCTCTTCCAAGCCACTCTTGAGTTCCTATACCAATAATTTAGGAACTTTCACCAGCGTAACTAAGTCAAGTTTCACCGCCTGAACAACTTTTTCTGAATGCTGTATGGAAAAGCACATTTGGAGAGTTGGTAAATAAACTATTTTTAACTTCCCAAACGTGTGATCTTTTTCGATGTTGGGGGAGAGGGGAACTTTGGAAGGAACCTAGAAGGGCATATTTTAAAGGTCTTAACAGCCTATATTTCCACGTTTTACTTTGCTGCATCTTTTGTGGTTTTCAACATTTGCTGGGGTTCTCTCACCAACGTGTACTTGCCCCAAGCTTGGATCTTGGATTCCTCGAATGCTCCTTTTATACCTATTTTATTTTTCCTTGAACAAACCATTTCTCATATCCTTGTTTTTTACACAGTATCTGATAGTTAATACTGCAGCCTAGCCAACAGTCTTCATAAATGGTTAAGAGACTTTGTGGCAGTGAAAGATGACAAGGCTTTTTCTATTTTCATCCGCTGCTATTGCTCTTGTAATCTAATTTCCCCACCCAGTTATCAACAACCCATGTACTTACAATATGCTTCATTGAAATAAACATTAATTCTTTCCTGCTGCAGTGGTGAGTCTCCGCGGTAGTTTCCCGTGGTATCAATTCCATGCTCATCACTTATGACTTCCCAGAACTAAAAGAGGAAGGTTAAAAACAGAGAATAGTAATCACATGCCAATAACAATATTGATGGGACTCTATAATAGCTGTCAACGTTTCCCCTTTTTTAAGGAAAATTCCCTTATTCCGAATAGGATTCCTCGCAAGCAAAGAGAAAAGTTGACAGCTATGGACTCTATCATATTTCTGCAATACTGGTGCCACCTTCGAAAAAGCCTGCCTCTGTGTTACCACAAGCGGGTAATAAGCTTGGGAAGGTAAACAGCATTTCCATGAGCTCTGGTATCCCATTGTGCCACATGTGGTTTAATCATGCTGGCCACATGACCTGGAATAGGAGTGCCAACTGTAATAAAATATTGTGGGGGGGGGTCAGGTAAGCCCCGCCCCACATAATCGATCACACACACCATTTGAATGGGAATGCCCATCAACTTTGTGGAGGCCCAGCCCACTCAAATATTTTATTGTGGGGGCTGATGGCCCCTAGGAATTGGCTCCTATGACCCGGAAAGCTGTTTGCAAACAAACGCTGGCTCCCTCGGTCTGAAAGCGGAGATGAGAGCCACACCCCATAGTAGAATTTGACTGGACTTAACTGTCCAGGGGTCCTTTATCTTACCTATAAAGTCCCTAAGTTCTGTATGTGATATATAACTATTCACCACACATTCTTTTGGTCACCTATAGCATGTCTCCTTTTACTTGCTTTTTCTGATGTCTAAAATCTCCCTGATGCTCTAGCCCCTTAATTGTCTTGGTAGGCCTTTCCTGAAACTTTTCCTGGCCCAGCACACACATGACATTCTTTCTAGACAGGTGTAAACTCTGGTGTAGCCTGCACGTGCCACAATTGGCAAAAAAAACCCCACCTAATCAAATAAGATGGTCCCATCACCTCCTGGCAAATAGAAGGGGAAGAAATGGAGGCAGTGAGAGATTTTACTTTCTTGGGCTCCATGATCACTGCAGATGGTGGCAGCAGCCACGAAATTAAAAGACGCCTGCTTCTTGGGAGAAGGGCAATGACAGGCCTAGACAGCATCTTGAGAAGTAGAGACATCACCTTGCCAACAAAGGTCCGTATAGTTAAAGCTATGGTTTTCCCAGTAGTGATGTATGGAAGTGAGAGCTGGACCATAAAGAAGGCTGATCGCCGAAGAATTGATGCTTTGAAATTATGGTGCTGGAGGAGACTCTTGAGAGTCCCATGGACTGCAAGAAGATAAAACCTATCCATTCTTAAGGAAATCAGCCCGAGTGCTCACTGGAAGGACAGATCCTGAAGCTGAGGCTCCAATACTTTGGCCACCTCATGAGAAGAGACGACTCCCTGGAAAAGACCCTGATGTTGGGAATGATGGAGGGCACAAGGAGAAGGGGACGACAGAGGACGAGATGGTTGGACAGTGTTCTTGAAGCTACCAGCATGAGTTTGACTAAACTGCGGGAGGCAGTAGAAGACAGGAGTGCCTGGTGTGCTCTGGTCCATGGGGTCACGAAGAGTCAGACACGACTAAACGACTAAACAACAACAACAACATGGGAAAGGTCTTCCCAGGTGATGGTAGTGTCCCACATTTTCTTCCTACACCAGGAGATATCCTTGTAGGGAGAGCATGACACGTGAGCCAGTCCTGCAACCCAGAATCCGTATGTGGCAGCAACCAGGCAGACTTTTAACTGGAAGCAACATACAAAACCAGAATAACAGGAGACATATATCTAGCCTCCCCACTCCCCACATCCAGCCCGGCTGTCTCTTTATCTGGAACAGCAGGCATCATGCATGTGGGCACACCCTTCTCCTGTAGCCACTGGCCTTTTAAATGCCTCTTGTCTTTAGTTCACAATCCATTTGTGTTTAGAATGCTTCCATTTATGTCCATGTAAACAGCCTCGCTGGGACAGAGAAAAACCTCCCAGCATGTCATGGAAGACTAGCCCCGTTGTTTGTCCCCTGCACAAACATGGTATACAATCCCTCTGACCGTGTGGGGGTTGCATTTAGCTGTCATGGCTACTAACCACTGAATGAAAGACCCTTCATGTAAATCCTCTGTTTGCTACTCCATTGAGAATTCTTAAGACTGCAGCCTCTGTGTGCAATCCTACGCTGCCATTTTCCCACCAGCTGTAGTAACAACAAGGTTCCTCAGGGTATATATTATGTGAAACCAAAGTGCCGCCAGACCTTTGGCTGCTCATCTTACTGACATCTTACATATTTATTTATGTATTTTACATAACAAGGTTTTCTGGACCGCTTCCTGGAAACATTAACAACACAAAGTATTTCTCCAACTCACCTTCCCCACAATGCCCTTCTGCCAAGTAAAATTGTTTGTGGACAAGAGAAATATAAACTTTAAAACATCAGGTTCTTTCACAATGGCTGTTATCCTAAATATATGTACAAGGAAAGGAATGAACACCACGGAATCTTTGTGGATCTTCAGCGTATCAAATGGTGCTGTAAAACCTGTTTCCTGTTTGAACTCAGTGATATGCATCTAGATGAAATGGCTGGCTATCTCATGGCTATTTCAGGTTACATTTTAATGTTGTATTTTAAACTTGTTTTTTAAGCTGTATTTCAATCCTTTTATATTTGGTGTTAGCCGCCCTGAGCCCGGTCTTGGCTGGGGAGGGAGGGGTATAAATAAAATTTAGTAGTAGTAGTAGTATGAGGAGATGACAGGTATCTCTTACATACTTCAGGCTTGATTTTATTTTAACCAAGTTTGCCCAAGGAGGGCATTTCAGTAGCATCCCGATTCAGCTTTGTCCAAATTCGCTTTAAATCCAGTTATTAAAGGCAGCATTCCCTTGTCTTTTAGAAACATTATTAAAAACCAGTTTCTTACCTTCGATCCAATTTGGTTTCCACACTGGCCAATCTGAAGGTGCACAATTTCACGCATTTTGAACAGGATTTGGTGGGGAGAGTAGATTCCAGCTTTCCCAGATGTGCTCTGTGGAATAAGTGATCGCTCTCGTACTGTCAGCTGTAGCAGCTCTTATCATTGGCAAAATGCAGCTTGTATAGGCGAATGCTACACAAATAAACCCAACCACCCCACAGCTCCCCAAGGGAGTTCCTGGAACTCCCACCCTGCAGACTCACAAGAGTTCTGATAGGACATTGACAAACAACTCCCTTAAAACCTTCTCTTTAAGCGATGGGTCTGGAACATTTTTCACCCCAAGGGTTGCATTTCATAGAATCACAGAATCGTAGGCTTGGAAGGGACCCTGAGGAACATCTATTCCAAACCCCTGCAATGCAGGAATATGCAGTTGTCCCAAACAGGGATCGAATCTGGCTCTGGAATATAGATAACGAACCACAGTTTATCTGTTATGTACTGAGTTGAATAGGATCCAAAACGCAGCAGTCTGATTGGTCCTAGAACAATAGGATCCAGAATGCAGCAGTCTGATTGGTACACAGGAGCCACTCAATCCTGCTCCAGATGGAAGTGAATCTGCAACCTGATTGGCCTACAGGAGAATCTCGGAATTAGCCAATCACGTGGGACCCACTGTATAAATAATGTATATAAGGCAGACATTCTGGGGGAACTTCCATTCCTCCTCACCACTATGAGCTGAATAAAGAGCATGAAATCCACTCTCGACTCCAAGTATATTTCATTATCAATACTTTTGAGTTTGTTTTGTTGGCTTTTGTTGCTATTGTTATGTTTTTAATGCTTGAGTTGCATTATGGAGCAACACATACACACACACACCCTCCAAAACACAAACCAGGGTAGGAGTGGCCCAGATGGATAGACTATATCAGAAGATGGGAAGCAAAGGGTTGGCTGAGACATGAATGAAGATTATCTGGTCCACCTTCCTGAGGTGAAACACAGGCTCCTTACAGAGTAACCTAGGTTGTGGCATTTCACAAACAGACATGCTGGGGTGAGGGTGGAGGGAAGCCGCAGGTATCAGAATAAGTGATTGACGGTCTTGTTGAATCAAGTACTCGTGCAAAGGAAGGCTGGTTGCCCCGTGCCGCAGTTAGGTCAGCAGCAAGTGGTGCTGGCACCCATTTTGGACCGGTAGAATGGAAGGCCAACAGTAGGTGTTGCCAGAGTCAACGATAGGTGGAGGCAGATAATTCTAGTTTTATATCCATCTTTCTCCAGGCTCTGTGCTGCAGCAGACACCACAACAATGCTGTAGAATGGAGTGCAAGAGGCAGGGGTATGTTTTAATTTTAGCGTTGCACAGGGCGCCGCTGAAATTTGAGGGCCCAAAGTCCGCTACTGGTGCCACCCCTGCCCTTTGAGTGGTTATGAGTAAGAAGACAAGCAGATGGGGTTGGGGAAAGGAACACTCTTCAGCTGTGAACACTAAGGTTGCGCGCACGCTATACCTTTAATGCACATTCGAAGCATGTTCTGTCCCTCAAAGAATTATGGGCGCTGTAGTTAACCCATCACAGAGTTACGATTCCCAGCAACCCTTAGCAAACTGCAGTCCCCAGAATTGTTTGAGGGATAGAATGTGCTTGGAAGGTAAGGTGTGTCCTCAGAGAGAGGGTCTTTGTTGGACCGTGGGAGGGAGTGGGAAATGTGCTTCTAACCTAAGTCATATGAGCAGTTCTGCTATCAGGTGCTTCCTTTTTTTAAGCAGAGGTTCCTTTCTAACAGCACAAGTTTCACCTTACAGCCTTTGTCTTCCCACACCATTTGAATGTGGTCCTGAAAACAAAGTTTCATTGAGACCTTGGATGTTGCATCACAGACGCCAGGGAAGCCACAGCAAAACATGTCTCCTTCTGATAGAGGCAAGCTTCTCTGTATCTTTGAGCGCACCAAAGTCTCCAGCAGCCTTTCTCCGTCAGAAGGGTGGAAGGAGACGCCTCTGCACACCAGCTCCACAGCACTGTGTGACAACACAATGGCGAAATTTTTGTTCCTGCCATGGCTTGGTTAGGTGACGGAGAAGTTAAGCATATTTTTGATGGATACCCCAAATTGGGGCCAAATTCTGATACAAATAGGGAATGGCTCAGGCTATAGCTGGGATGGGGCAGGGCAGATAGATAAAAGCAAGGCACTCAGATTAAGCATGGGCTATGCAAAATAAGTGCAGGATTAGCTCCAAGATGTTGTACACCACCCTAATATCCAAGCGGTGAGGGGACCAGGGGTTCCAGGCATTTACCCAGGGTTTGGTTTCCTTGGAATGAAGGTCAGTGAAGGTTGTGATCCCTTTAGGATAGATGACTTTATTGACACATATATACAACATGAGCATGAGGTCAAGGGGCTCACAGCATTAACACACCAGAAGAACTTTCTTCCTCATTAGTTGCTGCTTTGGATCAAGCATGTCTCTGTGTTCCCTGGAGAGCCAGTGTGGTGTAGTGGTTAAGAGCGGTAGTCTCGTAATCTGGGGAACCGGGTTCACGTCTCCGCTCCTCCACATGCAGCTGCTGGGTGACCTTGGGCTAGTCGCACTTCTCTGACGTCTCTCAGCCCCACTCACCTCTCAGAGTGTTTGTTGTGGGGGAGGAAGGGAAAGGAGAATGTTAGCCGCTTTGAGACTCCTGAAAGGGAGTGAAAGGCAAGATATCAAATCCAAACTCTTCTTCTCTTCTTCTTCCTCCCTGGTTTCCAGCCTGCTTCCAGCTCAGCTCTCACACAGAACATTGGGTATTGTTCTCCTCCTACCTAGCAGCTAGGTGGGTGGGGTGGAGGAAAGACTCACTCATTAGCCTGGAGGGCACCATCACTTAGCTGTAGCACTTGCAAACTAGCTCATTGTTTTGGGATGCTGATGAGGGCACTAAGGGCCAGCTAAAAACCCGTTGTCTTACAAAACTTATCGGACTAGTATAGCAACCTCTTCTGAGTACAGGACCCCAGGAATGGGAAGGGCATCTTCCAGACTGACCCCTGCCAAAACCCACAATCTAAGAAGAAATACACACCCTTGCAGTCCCTTCTCTGATAATAGTAAGAACTGTCCATGAGCTATTGTTGGTGCAAGCACTGGCTGTGTTCCAGCATTTGAAAGTGCCCCTGCTCCATTTGGAATTCAGAATCATGGTTTGTGTTTGTTATGACTGGTACATCTGGACTGGTTCAACTGGAACATACAGGCTTGTCAGCAGTACAACATAATTCAGTTTGGGTGCTGTGTGGGATCGCAGGAATTAAAGGTTTTAATTGTTTAATGTTTTTATTTAGTACTCACACACAAAACACATTCTTTACTCTCCCTTTTTTTTAATCCCTGTCATTTCTTAGCGGCAACCCCCTTTTGAGTAACACAAATTTTCCATATGTGGACTTTGCCCATGTGTTGCCAGCTGATAAGGAACAGGGACTTCACATCATCAAAAAACCACAGTGCGTTTAAGGATATGGCTGAAGGGGTGGTTTCACTATATTCCCTTACACATATGTACAACCTGAGCATAGGATGGAGCGGCTCACAGCATTCACACCCCAACAGATAATGCCTCCCCTTTAGGTTTCCAGGGAAGCTCCAGGTCTCAGCTTAGGTTCGGCACAGAGCAATACATGCCTCTGTGTCTCCAGGTTCCAGCATATGCCAACAACTCTGTCACACACACACCTCCCTGGCCTAATGTTCTCCATCCCAGGATGACAGAGTGGCTTGGGAAACCCAGCAAGATGAGTGGGGTATAAATAATAAAACTGTTGTTGTTGTTGTTGTTGTTGTTGTTGTTGTTGTTGTTCTGCTGCCAGCAAAGATGGATTTAATGCAGAATGCCTGGTTCTGCCACACTGGGTGCCAAGCCTAGAGGGAGTTGCAACTATGATGTCATGAATTGAGCAGATCAGAAGGCGAAGGGGGGGCGGGTTGCTGAATTTCGACCTTGCGCAGGGGGCTGCTGAAATTTGCAAGACCAAAGTCCACCCCTGCAGCCAGGTGAGGTGGGAAAGGGCCCACCCATTTGTCTCTATGGCAACAGAATGACCTCTTTGCATAAGGTAACTAGCAAAGATATTAGCAGAGGGACCGGTTTGAATGGTTCCCCAGCCTCTTCTAGATACTAAGCAGGCCTGGAAGGGACCCAGACTATCATCCACCACAAAACTCCTAAAGATATGTATGGATATTCCTGAAAGGATTCACTCCTTCAGGGACCTACACACGCCGAATTCTTCGTCCACAACAGGAGTGGGGAACCTTGGACCTCCAGATGTTGCTGAACTACAACTCCCACCAGCCCTAGAAAGCATGGCCAAGGGCCAGGGATGAGGGGAGTTCTAGTTCAGCAACAGCTGGTGCGTCAAGGTTGCCCATACTTGGTTCACATAAATATTCTGGTTCTAAATACAGAAGTGAATCAGATTGACAGTTGAATCTTACATCAATACCATCAACAAGCCAGTGTCCTTTATCCATGGGCAAGAGTCTAGGGGAGCCCAGTCCACAACTTCTTATCCTATAATAAATGTGTTAAGTCTTTTAAGGTGCCACAAGCAGCAGACTAAGGGTTCCGCCATCTGGAAATGGCAGCATCTGTGCTGTTACAGCAGAAGCAACCACGAACTCTCAGTGGGACAGTTATTATTTTTCCTTTATAAATAACTTCTTATTCAGCAGCGACATCGCAAAAAAGAGCACACCAAAAGAGAAGAGCAAAACAGGAAAAGGGAGAAGGAAGGAAGGAAGGAAGGAAGGGGGAAAGGAAGAAAACAATATGAAATAAAATGAAGTAATAGCCCCTGTTCCCGACACGTTGGTTACAAAATTCAAGGTATAGTAGTAAACATCCGGATGAAGTGCTGTGGTTGTCGTGGGGTTGTTTTAGACCTTGAAGCCCTCCGGCCCTTTCAACAGTCACGTGCATTTCTTCACATGACTGCCGGCACGACTGCTTTGCATGCAGACTGTCCCAGGTTCAGTCTGCAGACACGGGTGAGTAGGACTTCCCGTCTGAAATCCACTGCCATGCAGTGTTGACAAGCCTGACTAGATATATGGCAGCTGCTTAACTGCTGATCCCTACTCCGATTTCCAAAAGAACCCCAAACGTGTGTCATGGGCGTAGCAGCATCCCGGACATTTGACCGGTCTTCCGCCCGGACACTGCTGCCGCCGCAATATTCCGTATACAGTATGTCTGGAGAATTCTGGACGTAGGACAACCTTGCCACTATCCTGTGTCCGGCTCTGTCTGGCAGACTCGGAATGAAATATCTCAACAACAGTTGTTTTAACTTACAGAATATGTCAAAATCTTCCTACAATTTCTGCAATTTTAGTTAAGTGTGTTTGTCTGTTCACTTGATTTAGGAGGGGGGTCAGCTGGCTACGCCCATGGTGTTGGGCCCTCCTCCCTTGACCCACAGTCCTCTGGGCTTCCCCCCCAGCTAAAACCGGACCCAGAAAAGCTCCCAGCTCTGCCGTTTCCAGACGTTACGTGCACGGGGAGATCAAGGCGGGAGGCGCCCCGGACACTCCCATGAAGTCAGGCGTCTAGCGCACAGAAAGGAACCAACCGCGGAGGCGCGCAGCCTGCGTACGTGAGAACGACGGGGTCCTTTGCGCGTCCACGTCGGGCGTGCGCAGGCTCCGTCCAGTGCTCCGTCCCTCCCGGGGCTTTCTCGTCGAAAGTACCGTTTCTCTGCTTGGGCTCTAAGCTGCAGGGTGTGGCTTCCCGCAGGCGGAGGGCAGGGCGACTCCTGCACCCACCATGCCCCCTGCGGGGACCCTCCAGGGGGGAAGCGGGGCAGCTGCTTCTCCCGGGCGGCTAGTCCCGCTCTCCGCCCTCCACGCTCCCCTTCTCCCTCCCACCCCGTCGGGGGAGTCGCCCGGAGGCTGCCCTCCCGCAGGGGCCGGCCTGCTGCCTCCGCCCTCCGCCTCTGATTTGCGCAGCCTTGCCTCAAAAACTTCCCCTTTCGAAATTGCCGGCGCAGATTGAGACCCGGCAACCGCAGGGACAGCAGCAGCAGCAGCCGCCACCTCTCGGCTCCTCTCCCCAGAAGGACCCAGGAGTCCGGCCACGATGACCCCGCCTGGGCGCTTCCTCCTCCTCCTGGCGCTCGCCGCGGGCGCTCTCCTGTGCGCGGCGTCCGCAGCCGGCGTCTACTTCAAGGAGGGGCAGAGCTGCCACAAGCCGATGGCGAAGAGACCTCCGGGGATCAGGTAAGGCGCCAAGCGCCCCGTCGTCTTCCGAACCCGGATCTCCATCCTGCCGGCTTGGAGAGGCGCTGGCCAGATTTGGAGACGCTTGAGGGCGCAGCAGGACGCCAAACGCGCCTTGGAGCGCCCTTCTTTCGTCTGGCCTTACATAAAGAATTGCGGGGTGGTGGTTTCCCAGCTGTCTCTGATCCTGCAGGCAGCATATCGCTGTCACGTGTAGAGCCAAGCAAATAGCCTCCATGAATTTGTCCTATTTCCTTTCCACAGAGGTCCTGCGGTCTCCTGGTTCTGCAGCCTGTCTGTGGCTTTAACAGACAGGAGATGTGGTTTAGAGCAGTACTTCCCAATTTGTGGTCCGCAGACCCCAGGCAGTCCATGTAACCCACTCAGGGGCATAGCTGTCAACTTTTCCCTTTTCTTGCGAGGAATCCTATTCGGAATAAGGGAATTTCCCTTTAAAAAAGGGAAACAGTGACAGCTATGTTCAGGGGGTCTGCGGCATCATTCACATAAGAAAAAGTATAATAGCGATATCCAAATTTTCAAAAGTTGGGGGTCCATGTCTTGGGGAGCCAGTGTGGTGTAGTGGTTAAGAGCGGTAGTCTCGTAATCTGGGGAACCAGGTTCGATTCCCCGCTCCTCCGCATGCAGCTGCTGGGTGACCTTGGGCCAGTCACACTTCTCTGAAGTCTCTCAGCCCCACTCACCTCACAGAGTGTTTGTTGTGGGGGAGGAAGGGAAAGGAGAATGTTAGCCGCTTTGAGACTCCTTCGGGTAGTGATAAAGCAGGATATCAAATCCAAACTCTTCTTCTTCTTGGCTTTTGAAAAACGAGGCGTCTGCCGTACTTAGCTAATTGGGAACCACTGGTGTAGGGGTTAAGTGTGTCCAACTAGTACTTGGGAAACCAGGATTCAAGTCTCCACACAACTATGAATCTTGCTGGGTGACCTTGGTCCAGGCACAGTCTCTAGCAGAGCTGCCTCACAGGGTTGTTGTGAGGATAAAACGGAGAGAGGGAGAGCCATGGGGCCACCTTGAGCTGTTTGGAGGAAAAGTGGGAAATAAATTAAAATTAAAATGCCTGGGCAGGCTACACAATAATGCACATTTGGGGTGGGGGCTTGCTTTCAATTTGGTGGGTCTCTTATTAGAGCCCTAACTTTGGGGAAGGACCATAGATTATCTGCTTTGCAGACAGAGGGTCCTGGGTTCCAATTCCCGACATCTCAAGGTAGGGCTGGGGAACTGACTCTTGCCTGAACCTCTGGAGAGCTGCTGCCAGTCTGTGCAGACAGGGCTAGATGGCCTGACAGCCTCCCATGTTCCAGCTGCAAAACCTGGGAGTTGTGTCTTAAATTCCCCCCTGCAGCTCTCACGTCACTGCTCCAGGGTTTACTTCTTAATGCTGTTGCTCCCATAAGGAGATGGCAAGAGGCTGCATTAAGTGCTCCAGGCTGGTTAGCGTGTCTCTTTTGAGGAAGTTTGCCGTGTGACTGCCCAGCAAAAAGTTGGAGGGAATCATGACAAAGCAGTGAAGGATTTTCCTGACACCTCTTCTCAGATAAAGGGGAGGAAAACAGTCACTTGCTTTTTTCTGTCCTCTCCCCATTCTCCAACAGAACCTACCCTCGTCCCCATGAAAACATGGACATCTCAAAACTACCCAAGAGCTGGGACTGGAGAAACATAAATGGAGTCAACTATGTGAGCACCACACGCAACCAGCACATTCCACAGTACTGTGGGTCGTGTTGGGCTCATGGCAGCACCAGCGCCTTTGCAGGTATGGAGATCCGTGGGATGGTTGGCAATGCATCTGGCGGGCATCCTTTATCCATTCCCACATCCAGTACAGAGAGGGTGCTTTCACGTGACCATCTATCATGGTGTTTGGAGCAATCAAGTATTGTGCAACATCCACGTGACGTTGCTGTCATCGGAAAGCCAGCCCATATTAAACCCCCATCCCACTTATTTAATCCAGGTTTAATGGTTAATTGCTAACCTAGTTAATGATTTACCATGCATTCCCCCTTCTGAGCTATGGTTTTCCCAGTCGTGATGTATGGAAGTGAGAGCTGGACCATAAAGAAGGCTGATCGCCGAAGAATTGATGCTTTTGAATTATGGGGCTGGAGGAGACTCTTGAGAGTCCCATGGACTGCAAGAAGATCAAACACATCCATTCTTAAGGAAATCAGACCTGAGTGCTCACTGGAAGGACAGATCGTGAAGCTGAGGCTCCAGTACTTTGGACACCTCATGAGAAGAGAAGACTCCCTGGAAAAGACATTGATGTTGGGAAAGATGGAGGGCACAAGGAGAAGGGGGCGACAGAGGACGAGATGGTTGGATAGTGTTTTCGAGGTTACCAGCATGAGTTTGACCAAACTGCGGGAGGTAGTGGAGGACAGAGGTGCCTGGCGTGCTCTGGTCCATGGGGTCACAAAGAGTCGGACACAACTAAACAACTAAACAACAACAACAACAACCCCCTTCTGAGATGTTTGTCTCCTCCTCAATAGTGTGCGGAAAAAACAAACCATGATCACTGGCGCAATGCTGTGTCTCAACCAGGAACTGTGGTTTGTTCCCCTTCTCCAAACCACAATGAGGCAGTCAAAAATGCGCCCCCCCTATAGATCAGCCTTCCCCAGCTTGCTACCTTCCAAATATTTTCCACTGTTTTTGACTATGCCTCCAATCAGCATATCAGACAAGGGATGATGGGTGTTGTAGTCCAAAAGTCAAGGAGGACGCCCAAGTTGGGGAAGCGAGATGAAGCAGAAAAACCTGGGAAGGGGAATTGAATGGAATATTCTGGGGGGGCAGCCATAGCTGACTGGCTGGAACTTTGAGGATAAACATTCCAGGCTGCAATGTTTTGTCGCAGGGCTCAGTTGTTCTGTTGGAGCCGTCAACTTAAAATGTTCTCTGAACTATAGAATGCTGCAGGCCCCTATATATACAGGGTATATCTGGGCTCCCCAATGTGCACCTTCAGAGTAGGTCCCCCCCTCACCGAAAGAGTATTCTGCATTGCCCACAGCAAACTGCAAAAATTTCCTTATGTGCCCCCAAGCCCAAAAAACTTGTCTTACTCATGATGGCGTTATGTCTGGTAGTGGTTAAATACTGGAGATGATCTCTGGACACAAACCTCTTAGATCTTCAGTTTGTATATGTTTGGGGCTTAATATTAATGGAGAAATTGACTAGCAAGGTGCATTAAAGAAGAAGATGACACAAGACATTTAAGGGTTTTTCCAACACCAGGTTTAATTTTGTTACATGCGCTTCAAAAAAAAAGGGGGGAACACGCTTACGAAACCACCAGAAACTCATGGGGAAGTGTGGAATGATGTTTGTTTGTTTATTTATTTATTTTTTAAAATGTAACCAAGTGACCTTTGTTTCTTTTGTAATTTGTATCAACGGGTTATGTTTGAGTTCCGCTACGGTGGGAGTGGGAGGAACCAAACATTGCTTATGTGTTTATTCTTTAAATTCGATAAAAGGTACGGTAGTTGATTTTTTTTTGAAAAAAGCTGTCTTCCACCAATTGCTGGTTTGTCATCCCCCAGATCGCATCAACATAAAGAGGAAAGCTGCTTGGCCCTCTGCATACCTGTCGGTCCAGCATGTTCTCGACTGCGCCGATGCTGGCAGCTGTCATGGGGGAGACCACAATGCAGTATGGAAGTATGCTAATGAGCACGGCATCCCAGATGAGACCTGCAACAACTACCAAGCTAAAGATCAAAGTGAGTTTATCTTACCTGCTTCTCTAGCTCAGTAGTTCTCAAACTTTTATCTCTGGGCCACACTTTCAGAATAAAAATTTGTTTGCGCCACGTCGAATTTTAAAAATTGATACAGTGGAACCTTGGTTCCCGATATTTATCCGTTCCGGGAGTCTGTTCGACTAACAAAACGGTTTGGGAACCGGGGCGTGGCTTCCGATTGGCTGTAGGAGCTTCCTTCAGCCAATCAGAAGCTGCATAAGCAGCGCCGGACATTTGGCTTCCAAAGAACTTTCAAGAGGCAGAATGTTTGGCTCCCAAGGTGCTCGGGAGCCAAGGTTCCACTGTACGCTGGAAAACAAAACAAAAAACTCCTAGCAGTGCTTGATTTATAACTTTATAACATGGTTCTGGGATCATGGGACATCCAGAAAGTATAAAACAATACAGCTACATAAGAACATGAATCATTCCCAAAATATAATTACAAACGAGCCTCTTACATATGTACCTTAATGAAAGGTGTGCACTTGTTTTGCCAGGTCATCTCATTTATCTTAGGTCTGGCTTGAAGCAAGCAAACTTTCATATCCTTATCAACACAGATAAGTCATTCTCTTTCCTGATCTTTCATATTTGTCAGAATTGAAAGTCCCTGTTCACAACAATATGTCGTGTAAAACTGTAGAAGACCAGTCAATTTTGAAAAGATATCTATCCACATTCTGCAAATTAAATATATATTCTGATACTTTACTATACTATACTGCACTGAAATGTTCAAAAATGTGAGTGTCCTTGAATCTTACTGCCACACCCTTTGAGAATCACTGGTCTGTCTAATCTATAATATTTATAACCTGCCTGTCAGCTGAGATTGCAAGATGAGGGTTCTGATTAAAACCCACACTAAGGTACAAAATAACTGGGGATGTGTCCGTATGGAGGAAGGAAGCCTCTTCTGTCTCCTTGTGAATACTCAAGAGTAGACCCATTGAAATTAATAGATCTTAGTGGGTCTCCTCTAAATAGAACTCGCCTTTGGATACAGCCCTCTGTTTACAAGAAGACACATGCAAGACCACAAGGATAAAAATAAATTTCAGCATTTGTGCTTCCATCACCAAAGCTAATCACATGAGAAAGAGGAGGAAGGATGGCAGGGAGAAGAAAATGCATTTAATAAAAGTAGGAGGAGGAGAGGAAGAAAGAGAGAGGGACAGTCTGTGGTGTAATCACACTTCATCAGAGGGAAACAAGAGAGAGATGGATTGGTTAGTACCGTATTCTCCTTTTTTAAAAGCAGATTTCTCTCAGCAGTTACAATGTGCTTGTATTCAAGCAGGTAGCCTGTGCAGCAAGGCAGTTTATGGCCTTCCCTTCCTATCCTTGTTCTCCTATTGAGTAAATGCAATTGCCCCTTCCCCCCTCATCTCTAGTCGTATTCATTCACTTATTATATTTCTTGGTGGCTTTTCTTACAGAGTATCCCAAAGCGACTTGCACATGAAAACCATTAGCACTTAAAAAGAACAAAGGGTCTGGGTAGAGATAAGGTTTAGCAAAGAAACTGGGAAGGTCTCACAGATAGGAAAGGTTCCGGTAGGTAGCCGTGTTGGTCTGACACAGTAGATATATATATATAAAAGAAAGAAAGAAAGGTGCTCCTGGAAAATTTATTTTTTTTAGATAGGAAAGGGATCAGGAAGACAAAGAGTCTGCCCCTGTTTTCTGCTATCAATCCCGTCCCCTCCCAAAGTGCAAGCTGTAATTATTTCAGCCTATTCCCTTCCCTGCTTCTCTGTACTTTCCAATCTTGGACTCCTTCCTCTTTAGTCAGTAGACCCAAAGAAGCTCCACACTCAAGAAATATTGGGTAAGACTAATTCTAGCTACTGTATTTTTCTCTCTATAAGACGCACTTTTCCCCTCCTAAAAAGTAAGGGGGGAATGTGTGTGCGTCTTATGGAGCGAATGCAGGCTGCGCAGCTATCCCTGAAGCCAGGAGAGCAAGAGGGATCGGTGCGCACCGATCCCTCTTGCTCTCCTGGCTTCAGGGATAGCAGCGCGAAGCCTCTTCAGGGCAACGGGAGGAACGCTCCCCCTGCCCTGAAGAGGTTTGGCATGGCTATCCCAGAAGCCAGAACAGCAAGAGGGATTGCTGCTTTTGCTCCACAGCACCCCTTCAGCAAAGCGGGAGGAGAAATGGAGCCCCTTCCATTTCTCCTCCCGCTTTGCTGGAGAGGCACTGTGCAGAGAGGGAGAGGATATTTTTTGTTCTTGTTCTCCTCCTCTAAAACTAGGTGTGTCTTATGGTCGGGTGCATCTTATAGAGCGAAAAATACGGTATATGGTGGAATGCCCCTATCTTCAAAAGTGTTTTTCTCACTCACCCCCCAACCCACCAGCTATCTCCTCCAATCTCTTCTAGTATGCAACTTGGTCAAAAAGCACAGCATTAAAAGGCACGCCTGTTTGGGTTTTGTTTTTGTTTTTTTACACATTTCCCCTTTTCTCGCAAGCAGTGTGTTAAGGGGATATGGTGAAACCTAGAGCGGTATTCAGCTAATGCAAACTGTTGGTGCACAGATTTCTGCTTGTGAAATAAGACTTCCTTCCCTCTCCTCCATTGCGCTTACCCTGTGCCCTCCCCAAATCTGCTCCAGGACATTGGGGGGACGACTCCTAGTACAGATTTGGGGGGGGTGTGGTGGCGGGGAGGAGAGGGGGAGCATGCTCCATTGTGCAAGGAGAACTCATTGTGGTGATGGAACATTTGCTGAACACTGCATTCGAGTCCACCCTCCATTTCATTGTTTATAACCACTGGATGAAAGGCAAGTTTATTTCAGTTAAATGTACCTGTTCATTTTCCAGAATGCAAGAAGTTTAACCAGTGTGGCACATGCATCACTTTTGGCCAATGCCATGCGCTAAAGAATTACACCTTGTGGAAAGTTGGAGATTATGGAAGTGTCAGTGGGCGAGAGAAAATCATGGCAGAAGTCTATGCGAATGGACCCGTCAGGTACAGAAGCTAAACGTTTGTAGCCAGTGTCTGGGTAGTAACACATGAAAGCATGCAAGTAATTGCAGTTATTTCAAATAGCCTATTGCAGTGGTGGGAGAAAGACCGGTGGCTATGTTTATCTGGTTTTGGAATTTGCCACGTTTATGTTATACTTTATTAAGGCAGTGCCATTTGACAATTGAGAACTTTCGTAACGCTTCAGAAGAGACCGGCGCATCTACCCCATACATTTAAAGCACGGGACTTGCCCCCAAAGAATTCTGGGAACTGTAGTTCATTAAGGGTGCTGTGAATTGTAGCCCTGCAAAGAGTAAACTACCACTCCTAAGATTCTTTCGAGGAAGCTATGTGCTTTAAGTGTATGGGGTGGATTTGATTTGTTCCATTGATACAGTGATTTCTCAAGTGATTGGACCAAGTAATTTGTCCATTGATTCAGTACATTGTCCAATTGATTTAGTGGCCTTAGTGTCAGGGAACTGACATCAGAGCGAAAGGCGAAGGGGAGGCTCCCAGATTCTGCTGGCGAAGGACCCAGCACCAGGAGGAGAAGCAGCTCGGTAGAGGGGGAAGGAAATCAGCGCAACACCAGGGATAAAGGGGGGCAGATTGGGGAAGCGGAGAGAGAGCTCCGGGACTCTTCACTGGACATCAGTGAGGAAAGTACAGGTCCTCCACTACCCACGCCCTCCCTGTGCAGAAGACTCCCGCGCAGTGAGAGGAGGAGGAGACTGGGAGTCAAACAGCTTCTATGCTGGAAGAGGTTTAAGAAACGCCCACAGACAGATTCTGCTAGCGACTGAGACAGCCACGCGGAGATGGGCTGTGCAGTCAGAACGGTTTAACAAGGCAATTTAGCCTAGAGAGGTGGCAGTTTACGCACGAGTAACTCATACCCATTACACTTAGGAATGCCTCAATTTGTTGATTATGTGGCAGCAGGTGACTAGCTAACAGGACAATAAGTTTTGTCCTCCTAGAAGGAATGGTAAAGGTGGAAGCTGACTTTGGGGTGCACCGGGTAGCAGCTTTGATATTACTCACAAAGCTAGTTTGTTTCACTGGCAGAAGGAAAGGGTGAAGCTTCAAGAAAAAGCCTTGGCAATTATGGCTCCAACCTACCAAGGGGCAAGTTAAAGTAACCTCTGCTCCTTGCCGCAGCAGCTTTCTATTGAATAATATTATTAATAATAATTTTATTACTTATACCCTGCCCATCTGGCTGGGTTTTGCTCACGACATAAAGCTTGAAGCTCTTGTATCAGGTTTTGACTTTTGCGGTGCTATCTAGAGTGGACGTTGAAAGTTTCAACTTATCAATAGCATCTTAAGGCTGCTTTAATGTCATTGTTCTGTATTCTTTAAAACAGCTGTGGGATCATGGCGACTTCGAAGCTGGAAGCATACGCTGGAGGAATTTATAAAGAATATGACGCCCATCCCATGATAAACCACATAATCTCCATTGCTGGCTGGGGCGTAGAAAATGGAACTGAATTCTGGATCGTCCGGAACTCTTGGGGACAGCCATGGGTAGGAAGGACAGAGCAGCCATAAATGAGACACGTGTGTGTGTGTGTGTGTGTGTGTGTGTGTGTAACATCCAGAGGGCCAAAGATTCACCAATCCTGCTCTAATAGGAATTTAGCTCTTCATATTTGATTACAGCTTTCTGGCAGGCCCCAAGAGCTGCACGACTCTGTGTAGTTGCAAACCCTACATGTACAAAGATCGGGAATGTGTTTTGCAACTACTGTATAAGCACTCGGTCCAGAAATCTGCACCAGCTCCTACGTGTGAGAATCTTCTTCTGAATGCCACAGGATCACTTGCTGGAGTGTTTGGGTGCAAGACCACCAGAGCTGATAAAAACCCCAATGGACTGTGTCCATTTAGGGATCAGGAAATGGTGTGATGCCTGGCAAGCCAGAGGCATTAGAAGGGTGTTGGTGTTTTAGCAATAGACCAGGCCATTTCGGGGGGTGGATTTTGGGACCTAAGCCCAGCTTTTCCTTCCTTCTCTCTGGCAGGTAAATAAATAGTTGTGTGTCTGTCATGCAATACCTTGCATGCAACATCCAAATATCCCACTGCACCAGGGATCGAAAAGGTGTGGCTTCCCAAAGATTGTTGGATCACAACTCCCATCATCCTTGATCACTGGGGCTGATGGGCATCCCAACAACACCCAGAGAGCCACAGGTTGCCTAATCCTGCATCACCCCTTCCTGCATGCTCTGGGGCAGATGCAAGACAATTGTCCTTATTCCTTCCAACTTGTACACAGTCAGTATTTGTTGGGTGAGGGTTTCCAGGGTGGCGCAGCAGCAGCAGCAGGAGAAGAGTCACTTGAGCCCATGACTAATGCGGTTTCCCATCTTGCAGGGTGAGAAGGGCTGGCTCAGAATTGTTACGAGCGCCTACAAAGGAGGCAGCGGAGGGCACTATAACCTGGCTGTGGAAGAGGACTGTGCTTATGGAGACGTCATACTTTCTTGAATTCTGCAATGGATCACAGACCCCTTATTTGCACTCCTGATTTTGAAACGAAAGGTATCTCCCAGCAAGATTTCCCTCCTCCTCGTGAAAGGGAAAGATCTATCTATATATTTGGCAACGCATGCTAATGGTGAAGTATTTGCAAAGATCAGGCTGCTTGTTTGCATATAACTTCTGCAGCAAAGGAACCTCTGTTGATTGCACACACGGAGAGAGAAACGGCATTTATTTCTTTTTTGCTTGGAAGCTTTCCTCGGTTACGATGATGTAGGTGAAAAGGACTTTGTGGTGTATGTGACGTATGGATCCCCATTCGGCTAAAGTGGGCTGAGTCTGTGTGTTAAGCAAAATGTTGGACCTGCAAAATATGCAAAATACCTTAATGGGGTTTCCATGCAGCCAGTGCCTAGTTTAAATCACATTGCCTCTATTTCTGGAAAAGGGTTTGGGAAGAGCTGAGGGGCAGAGCCTGTCCTTACTCGTTGCCTTCAATGCAGGCTTACTTGGCGCCCTTCCTTGCTGCGCATTGCAAGAGTTGCCTCTGTTGCTCCAGCCACTTTTGACTCTGGCCCCAACCATCACTTGTGGCCTCTGGAAGGCTGTGTATGACCAAGTAGCCCTTGATTTCCAGCTCCTCTCACTGATACTTAATTCTGTTCCCTGGAGAACCTCAGAATGAGGCTAATATCCCTGATCCTTGTGTTCAGGCTCTGCAAGCATGGCACATCAGACTGTGTGTCGCATTGGCATACCTGGAGATGGAGATGCACAGCCCAGGGAAATCTATGCATTCAGTTTAAACACAGTCCACTATACGGGTTGGTTGCTATTGTGCATCCAGTATCACAGTTCAGTTCAAAGCCCCATTAAAACCAACGGGACACAACTTGAGCCTCAGTGCCCATCGAGTCACAGCTAAGTATTGGTGAATACAAGTTAGTGCTTTCCTTTTTTTCGGGGGTGGGGAGAAATTGTGCAGCAGTTGGGAGCAGACCAGTTGCAGAATTATATGCGAGATAATATAGGATTTTTGGCTACTGAACTGTTTACTGTGTGTGAGATACATGTTTTTAAATAGGAAATCTGCTTTTTCCACATTTGGGGATAATTCCTTCAGGAATGCTCACTGCTGGGAGGAATTGCTCAACAACAATCCTGTGAGGGAGATGAGGCTGTGAAAAATGTGACCAGCCTCAAGTCGCCCAGTGAGCTTCATGCACGAGTGGGGATTTGAACCTGGCTTGTCCCAACACCCTCTAATTTAGAAGGTGGCAACATGATGCCTCTTGCAGCGCCCACGAAAGATCTCGGAAAATATTCCTTTAAAACCCCCTCGATGAGAGCCTGTTCACTCTTGCCGCTCATCTCCTGTTCGCACTAGCTCAGTCTTTGCGACATTCAGCATGCCCCCTTAAACATGCCCACATTTCATGGGGTCCTAGGACTGGACACCCGCCTTCCCTCCCTTCTGTCCTGAAAGGTGCAAAGGACACCCTGAGTGAGTGTGGCGATGGCTAAGGTAAAGGTAGAGTTACCCCTGACTGTTAGGTCCAGTTGCGGACGACTCTGGGGTTGCGTGCTCATCTCGCTCTATAGGCCGAGGGAGCCAGTGTTTGTCCACAGACAGCTTCCGGGCCATGTGGCCAGCATGACTAAGCCGCTTCTGGTGAACCAGAGCAGCGCACGGAAACACTGTTTACCTTCCAGCCGGAGTGGTACCTATTTATCTACTTGCACTTAGACGTGCTTTCGAACTGCTAGGTTGGCAGGAGCAGGGACCGAGCAACGGGAGCTCACCCCATCGTGGGGATTCAAATCACCGACCTTCTGATCAGCAAGCCCTAGGCTCAGTAGGTTAGACCACAGTACCACCTGCGTCCCATCATGGCTAATGTAGGTGCCTTAAAAAAAAAAATTGATTGGGGAGGGTGAAAGGCCAGCACCGTGACTCCCCTTCCTGCACTTTTCGAAGGGGTGGCCATTTTTGTGTCATGCCATGCCCCATGGGCACCCACGGCACTTTATCAAGATTCCAAATGTGCCCCCCCAGGCCCAAAGAAGTTGCTGCCCCCTGTCTAACCTTTCCCTCTTCTGTGTACAAGGTGCTCTACAGTCTTTCCCTATTCTGTGAGTTGCTGCAGCCGTGCCATTGTAGCCATATGCACCTCCAAAGGTAGATGTCATGAATAAGAGGCCGGTGCTCTTGTTTTAAGTGACAAACTTAGGGACTTTTTAAAGTGACAAACTTAGTGTTTTTCTGTTGAAACATCCCAGAGGTGGGAATGGAGGGGAAATAGCCAGAGGCCTGTGCTACTGATATAAAAATATAGTCCACGGTCTTCTTTTTTTCAGTGTGCTATTTTTACAATTTTTTACAAATTGTAACTAATAAAAAAATTGGTACACTGATGACGATGTTGAAAATTAAAAAGGGCACGTTTTGCATCCTCACGTGTGTACCATACATGTCAGTATCAGACATCCTCAGGCACTAGGAGGAATCTTGCTGCAAGTCTGTAATTATATTATATTATATAAACTTGTGTAACACACATAACCCATCAAAAAACCAAATAAAACAAAAAGGGCATTACAAAATCTAGACCAAGACCAACATAGTCAGAAACAAAAATGTAAGAGGCAGACACCACAGAATTTTTTTTTCTGATACATACAGCAACTGAAAAACCAACCTTTTACAAAGTTATATACTGGCAAACACAGTAGGGAATTTCCCTTTGTTCTCTGAAATATTTGCATAAGCAATAAAGTTCCGCCAGTCTCTCACAAACACATCTCTGTGTATTTCCTCTAGCTAGACTTAATCTGCAGTTAAGTTCCTCTCCCACATTCTTCAATTAGCCTCTTCAAGTTCCTCCCCAAAATGGCAATAAGTCATATGTGCAGCTACCAATAAATGTCATACCTCATCATGGGACTGAAACTGCCTTGGTCGCGCTGGTTGATGATCTCCAGTGGGCTAGGGACAAAGGTGAGATCTGTTTCCTAGTTCTGCTGGATCTCTCAGTGGCTTTTGACACCATTGACCATAACATCCTTCTGGACCGTCTTGAGGGGCTGGGAGCTGGGGGCACTTTTATACAGTGGTTCCGCTCCTTCCTCCTGGGCCGTGTCCAGAAAGTGGTGGTGGGGGATGAGTGTTCAGACCCCTGGGCTCTCACTTCTGGGTTGCCTCAGGGTTCTGTCCTCTCCCCCATGCTTTTTAACATCTACATGCAGCCGCTGGGAGAGATCATCAGGGGGTTTGGGCTTGGTGTTCATCAGTATGCAGATGACACCCAGCTCTACCTCTCTTTTAAATCAGAACCAGTGAAGGTCCTGTGTGAGTGCCTGGAGGCGGTTGGAGGATGGATGGCGGCCAACAGATTGAGGTTGAATCCTAACAAGACAGAAGTACTGTTTTGGGGGGATGGGGCGCGTGGGTGTGGGGGACTCCCTGGTCCTGAATGGGGTAACTGCCCCTGAAGGACCAGGTGCACAGCCTGGGAGTCATTTTGGACTCACAGCTGTCCATGGAGGCGCAGGTTAATTCTTTGTCCAGGGCAGCTGTCTACCAGCTCCACTTGGTACGCAGGCTGAGACCCTACCTGCCTGCGGACTGTCTCGCCAGAGTGGTGCATGCTCTAGTTATCTTCCACTTGGACTACTGCAATGTGCTCTACGCGGGGCTACCTTTGAAGGTGACCCGGAAACTGCAATTAATCCAGAATGCGGCAGCCAGACTGGTGACTGGGAGTGACCGCCGGGACACATAACACCGGTCCTGAGAGATCTGCATTGGCTCCCAGTACGTTTCCGAGCACAATTCAAAGTGTTGGTGCTGAACTTTAAAGCCTTAAACGGCCTAGGTCCTATATACTTGAAGGAGCGTCTCCACCCCCATCGTTCAGCCTGGACACAGAGATCCAGCGCTGAGGGCCTTCTGGCGGTTCCCTCATTGCGAGAAGTGAGGTTACAGGGAACCAGACAGAGGGCCTTCTTGGTAGTGGCGCCCACCCTGTGGAATGCCCTCTCTTCAGATGTGAAGGAAATAAGTAGCTATACTATCTTTAAAAGACATCTTAAGGCAGCCCTGTTTAGGGAAGTTTTTAATATTTAATGCTGTATTGTTTTTAACACTCGATTTGAAGCCACCCAGAGTGGCTTGGGAAACTCAGCCAGATGGGCGGGGTATAAATAATAAATTATTATTATTATTATCATCAAACGAGGATGGGTTTATCTTCCATGTCTGTATCATCATCTGAAAATAAAGTTAGTAGAGTTAAGTTCTAGGGTCTTCTGAATACATAGCAGGTCTGTATAAATACACACGTAAACACATCCTTTGGAAGGGCTCTATATTTGCAGGTCTGTACTATGTTTGTGCAATAAAAACTATGTTTAATAGACATGTTGCATGGCCAACACTGGACAGAACCTGACTGGGTTAGTCATAAAGGTTCAACAGACAACTCAAGATTAAATAATGACAATAGTAAATGCTGCTGGATACTGAGGCCAGGATAGCTCAGTTGGCTAGAGCGTGGTGCTGATAATGCGAAGGTTGCAGGTTTGATCCCTGTATGGGACAGCTGCATATTCCTGCACTGCAGGGGGTTGGACTAGATGATCCTCGGGATCCCTTCCAACTCTACAATTCTATGACTCTACACTGACTTAATTATAGGGAAAATTAGGTGCATGTTACCTACAATTGTAAAGAGGCTGCAGAATACGGTTTTCTTGTGGCAGAATTTGGATTAGCTTTCCGTTACAGTGGTGCCTCGCAAGACGAAAAGAATCCGTTCCGCGAGTCTCTTCGTCTTGCGGTTTTTTCGTCTTGCGAAGCAAGCCCATTAGCGGCTTAGCGGATCAGTGCTATTAGCGGCTTAGCGGATCAGCTGATAAGTGGCTTAGCGGATCAGCTGTTAAGCGGCTTAGCGGCTTGGGAAAGGGGGGGGAGGAAAAAACCCTGCAGGAACTCGCAAGACATTTTCGTCTTGCGAAGCAAGCCCATAGGAAATTCGTTTTGCGAAGCACCTCCAAAACGGAAAACCCTTTCGTCTAGTGCAGGGGTCAGCAACCCGCGGCTCCGGAGCTGCATGTGACTCTTTTACACATTTGCCGCGGCTCCGGGGCGGATACTAGCAAGGGGAGGAGGCGCATTGTGTGCCCCGACACTCCCCACTGTTTTAAATGTCGCAATGGTTTTGCGGCTCCCAGTTTTTTTTCTTTGGTCCAAGTGGCTCTTTTTGTCTTAAAGGTTGCAGACCCCTGGTCTAGCGGGTTTTCCGTCTTGCGAGGCATTCGTCTTGCGGGGCACCACTGTATTTCACGCAGTCCTTCCAAGGAGCTCAACACATACCTAACCCAAATGACTGCTTTTAAATGTCAGCTTTCCTACAGCAGCCCCACTCCAGGGCTGCTATCCAAGGACTGCCTCTCCCCATATGGACCAACCTGGACCCTGTGACCATCATTTGTGTGCTGCCTCCACGTGAACTCCGGAAGGTGGCAACACATGAACTGGCCTTTTCCGTGGTGGCTCCCCATTGCTTATCTTTAGGCACCAGGCAAAGATGCTCCCAATTCACCAGGCCTTGGGCCGATCAAACCATCTACACCTGGCTCTCCAAATGAAACATAACATGAAAACGCATTCTTTTCGGCATAATATATACCCTTTAGTGTAGTAAACCAGATATGAACACACAGCAAACAACGGTAGTTGGCAGCATGGGCAAAAATATTCCTGCATTGCAGGGGGTTGGACTAGATGACCCTTGGAACCCCTTCCAAGTCCACAATTCTATGTACTAAGGAAACATGAGGGCATTTGTCAATTATCGCCCACACAAACTCTGGGTGCCTGACCCAGATGGGTTCTGTGCTGCAAGGGCATGGGAGCATTTGCAGAAGAATGCTTTGATTCACTGCTTGGCCCAGGGTGGATTGATAAATTTAGCACTGTTGTTAATACTCCAGAAATACATAAATGATTATGAAACTAAATCACCAAACGCCTCCAGCAGCATTTTTATTATTTATTTTGCTGCAGAGGCGGCATATATTTAAAAGAAACACACACACATGATGGGAGCCACACCTTATCCGTCACTGGGAAGCAATTCGTGGCCCCTTTAACCACAGTTCTCGGGATTACTGTACCGGGGCGTGTGCGCGCGCTTTAAATGCATGGCTGTGTCTTGTTTCCTATTGCTCCGCCTCGCCTCCCAGTCACTTGCCAGGATCAAAGATGCCCATTGTCGGGTGTTTAGATCCAGAGGGACGTGCGGGTAAATTAACATGCAGCGAGCCGTGCTGCGAAAAACAAAGCTAATCCCAGACGTCAAGGCCCGGCCTTCCTGGAGTCACAGTTTCTCAAAGGCAGCAGTGCGCACCGCACTATGCAATGTGCCCATGCCTCGAAACCATGCTCTGCGTGTTCTGCACTGGAGAGGCGCTTGGGCATTCCGGGTTTGTGTGTGTTTGTTTTTTTAAGCTTGCCAAGTTGTAGAGTTGGGAGGAACCCCGCGGGTCATCTAGCCCAACCCCCTGCAACCCGCGGGCATGAATGAGCTGATGCCAGCCGTGATTTGATGGTGCGTCTGTCTGGCGGTGATGAAAGCCCCGAGATGCGCAGGTGAACCTCCCGAGGGCGGCGGCGTTTAACTCTTCCTGCCTCCCTCGACGGCCGCTCTTATCAGATGGCCAACCCCTCGTTTCGTAACCCTGGGCGAACCAGTCGCCCTTCCCGCGCCGGGGCGGCGCCGAAGCGGGTTATAAGGCTCGAACTTCGCCGCAGCTCCTCCACCCAACCGGCCCCGCGCGTTTCCGGCTCCCACCGCCATCCGCAGCAGCCGTCTGGCCGGCCGGGGCGCAGCTTTCGTTCGACGGAGCGGGACGAAGCGCAAAGAGCCGCCGTCGAGCCGGGACCATGGCCGGGCGCTGCCTCCGCCTGGCGCTTCTCCTCCTGCTGCCGCTCCTCGACGCCAAGGCCGGGCAGAGTTGCTACAAGCCGAGGATTCCCAGGCCCTACGCCGTCCGGTAAGAGCGCACTCGTCCCTGGGAGTGGCGGGGTGGGAGCATGGATGCGCATCAGGAGGGGAGGTGGCCTGAGCATGCGAAAAGTGCATGGCCTTCGCTAAGTGTACAGAATTGGGGGAGCTGCTTCTCTCCCCCGACGATTCCCTACAGACAGAGAGCCGTCCGCTGCAGCCCGGGATCTCCGACGGCTCTCCTTTCTGCTGCGCCAAACGAACCGGGCGGCGGCCGGATTGTTCTGGGGGGAGACCCCGAGAGCCCTGCGGGGATTTGTCGCGTTCTCCCCGGGGATTTTCCTCCTCCTCCTCCTCCTGCTGCAGGCGTGGTTTCCCGGACGCCGCTTGAAAAACAACCGGCCGGCAGCAGGCGGGCTGCAACCGCGGCAGGAGCAGATCTCGGCGCCGCCCAAAAGCGCGGAGGGTCGTCCAAAGACGGCCCAAGGTCCGTGCAAGTTGGTGGCACAGGCAGAAGCGGCGTGTTTGGACCCGGAGAGGGAAAAGCTGGGCCGAGATTTTCCTGCTTGCCCCACAAACACGGCCTTGGGGTGCGAGACTACCTCGCAGGGCTGTTTGGAGGATGAAATTAAATTCTTGCAAGCCACCCTGAGCTGCTGGGTGCAAAGCTGAAATAACGCCCTATTTCCAGGGGGAAAGGCATGGCTTTGGTGGGTAACATGTTTGTTTGTTTTTAGCCTGGTGTTGCTCAGTGGAGGAGCACATGCAGAAAGTCTCTGTTTTCTCTAGGCAGGGCTGAAAAAGATCCCTGGGTGAAACTTGAAACCCAGATGAAGCAATGATCTCACTGTGTAAGGTAACTTTATAGAAAGCTGACGTGCTGAGTCAGACCATTGGGCCATCAGGGTTGCCTGCGCTGGCTGGCAGCAGCTCTCCAGGGGTTCAGACTGAGGTCTCTCCCAACCCTGGCTGGAAATGCCAGAGTGAATATGACCTGGATTGGGAGTGGGAGTGGGGGCAGTGTGCCCTCCACCCCACTTGAGGGCAGCAGACCAGAGACTCACAACTCCTGCAGAGAGGCAGGGCATGGGGTTCAGGAGGAAATGCCAGGGGGCTGCCACTGCCCTCCCCGCTCCAGCATCTCCTTCCCAAGATGGCCACCTCACTTTGCCCAAGGCCTTTTTGCCGCGGCAATCCACACGTCCGAATTCACTTGGTGTGGTGATCCCATTGATTGTTTTTGTCCCACGAGTGGGGGGCTCAGCTTTGGGCTTGGTGGATTTTAACTGCCAAGGTAGCTAAGTACAGTGGTGCCTCGCAAGACGAAATTAATTCGTTCCGCAAGTTTTTTCTTCTTGCGAGTTTTTCGTCTTGCGAAGCACGGTTTCCCATAGGAATGCATTGAAAATCAATTAATGCGTTCCTATGGAAACCGCCTTCAGACCAGGTCCGGGGACAGTCTGTCCCCCGACCTCTTCTGAAGGCTGGGGGGGGGGACAAGGGCTTTTCTTCCCACCCCCAGCATTTTAAAAAACCCTGGGACAGCGGAGGACTTCTCCGCTGTCCCGGGGCGATTTAAAAGCCCCCGGGAAGGCAGGCAGGGGGGAGCAAAGACTTTTGCCCCCCGCCGGCCTTCAGAAGAGGTCCTGGACCTCTTCTGAAGGCCGGCAGGGGGTGAAAGTCTTTGCTCCACCCCCCGCCTGCCTTCAAAAGCCGTCCGGGATAGCGGAGAAACGAAGGCTGGCGGCAGGAGGAGGTGTCCCCGCCCCGCCGCCAGCCTTCGGAGGAGGTCCGAGGACAGTGGGGAAGACGCGCTGCGCTTCCCCGCTGTCCCGGAGATTTCCCTATGGGCTTTCGTCTTGCGAAGGAAGCCCATAGGGAAATTCGTTTTGCGAAGCGCCTCCAAAACGGAAAACCCTTTCGTCTAGCGGGTTTTCCGTCTTGCGAGGCGTTCGTCTTGCGGGGCACCACTGTACCTTGATTTGAGACATCCAAGCATATTACGGTTGAGCATATTACTGCGATCTTGGCTCGACTGCGCTGGCTGTCCATTACTGTAGTTAATGGACCCAATTTAAAGTGCTGGTTTTGACCTATAAAGCCTGAAAGGGCTCAGGACTGCAATGCCTGGAGGACCGCCTCTCCCCATATAAACCCCATATGACTGCTTTCATCCTCTGAGGCCCTTCTACGTGGGCCTCTTCCATATGAAGTCTGGAGGGTGGCAACATGAGAAAGGGCCTTCTCTGCAGTGGCTCCCTCTTTGTGGAATGCTCTCCCCAGGGAAATTCGCCTGGTGCCTTCATTATATATATATTTTTGGCGCCAGGCGGAAACGTTCCTCTTCGACTAGGCCTTGGGCTGATCAATATTCTACACCCTTTTAAATGCATTTTTTTGGGGAGGGGGTGGGTATTGTTTTGCTGTTCTGTCTTACTTGTTTACTTGTTTTTATCCCGTATTTTATTCTGTGAACTGCCCTGAGATCTTATGAAGAAGGGCAGTATATAAATCTAATAAAGAAACCAACAAAAATAAATAAATTCACTTAGCACTTATGAGCACCTTGTGGCAAACCACCACCAGATCTCCATCAGAGGCCAGTTCCCGAGGGTTAAAATGTAAGGCTTCGGCCTTTGCAATGCTCAACTGCAAGTCTCATTAGAATACGCCAACAAAACAAAAGTTGTAAGAGGTATTAATCATACCAGTGAAGGATCAAAAACAGTAATTATTTTGGGTTTACTTATCAAGCCTCTTTCATCGACTTCACAATCCACTCGTAGCTTCCAGCCTACAGCTGTGGTTCTCAGAGGGTGTGGCAGGAGAGGATTCACCGACGGTCAAAGACACATCTAAACATTTCGGTGTAGCACAGTAGACTATAGTATCTAAATTATTATTTGTGGCTATGCAACCAGAAACAGTATGCATGCGTCTCTTTGAGAGTATTGGCTGCTCTCGTACAGATCCCCATGGGATATTGTGAACAGCGAAGATCAGGAAGGATGTGTTGATGAGGAGAGGTTTGTTTTTGGTCTCAAATTAGACCTAATATAAATGGGATTACCTTTGCAAAAGCAAGCTCACGCCTCTCCATGAGTTTGTATGCATACTTAAGGAACATATGCAAGAGGCTCCTTTATAATTATATTTTGGGAGTGATTCATATTCTATGGAGCTGCGTCATTTAATGTTTTCTGGATGTCCCATGATCATCTTATAAAGGTTGTTGTGCTCTGTTATAAATCAAGTATTGCTAGGTGTTATTTTGTTTTCGTTTTCCAGACCTGTCAATAAAAAAATTTCGGTGTGGCGTGAGCAAATTTTTATTCCGAAAGTGTGACCCAGAGAAAAACATTTTGAGAACCACTGACCTGCAGGTTGGAAAATGCTGGCCTACGAGAAGGGGCAGCCTCCCCTATGAAGCGCAGTATGGAGCAGCAGAAACATTTATGAGTGCAGAAATAGAGGCGTGCTTTTCAGAGAGATGGCATTGGAGCCTCTTCTCCAGACTCCAGTGTGCTTGTGGGGCGATGGGGGGCAGGATTATTTTCCCCCTTTCAACACACCCTTATGGCAAGGGTGGGGCTTTCTAAATCAGCTTGCGTGTTTTGTGAGTCTATCTAAAGGGCTCTCACGTGAAAGGGGGAGCAAGCTTGTTTTCTCCTGCCGCAGATAATGGCATCCAAACCAAATTGCTTCAAGTTACAAAAAGGGAGATTCTGACTAAATATCAGGAAGAACTCTTCCTTGGAGGTTTCCTTCCTCGGAGGTTTTGAAGCAGAGGTTGGACGGCCATCTGTCATGGATGCCTTTAGCTGAGATTCCTGCATTGCAGGGGGTTGGACTAGATGACCCTTAGGTCCCTTCCAACTCTACGATTCTGTGGGAGAAGGAGTCCCTCCAGATTTAGTCCTGTGAGTTACAAGGAGTGGCAGGGGGACCTGCAACGATGTGGTGCAGTGTGAAAAAATGCCACCTTGAGGATGCCAGCCAGCCAGCAACGCCCTTTATCAGAATACACTCGTGTGGATGGGCTGCATAAAGATCCACATTCAGAGAATGAGCTCCCTGTGGGTTTATACTAAGACTGAATTTTAGTGTCTGCAGATCCCTTCCTTTTATTCGCGTTTTCAAGTACAGTGGTACCTCAGGTTAAGTACTTAATTCGTTCCAGAGGTCTGTTCTTAACCTGAAACTGTTCTTAACCTGAAGTACCACTTTAGCTAATGGGGCCTACTGCTGCTGCCGCGCCGCCGGAGCACGATTTCTGTTCTCATCCTGAAGCAAAGTTCTTAACCCGAGGTAATATTTCTGGGTTAGCAGAGTCTGTAACCTGAAGCGTATGTAACCTGAGGTACCACTGTACAGTGGTGCTTCGGGTTACAAACACTTTGGGTTTCAAACTCCGCTAACCCGGAAGTAGTACCTCGGGTTGAGAACTTTACCTCAGGATGAGAACAGAAATCGCAAGCAGTGGCAGCAGGAGGCCCCATTAGTGAAAGCACACCTCAGGTTAAGAACGGTTTCGGGTTAAGAACGGACCTCCAGAATGAATTAAGTTCATAACCCGAGGTACCACTGTACTGTGGTGCCTTTTAAGTGGTTTTTTCTCTGGTAATTTTGCAACAAGAACCAGAAAGCATGTCAAGGCCCACTTTAAGCTGCACTTCAATAGCTGCTGTGGTCACCTGAGTGCTCTGAAGAAATGTCAGCCTTGTGGCAATCACATGATCGCCTGGGAGGAATTTTAAGGTCATTTGGCGTGGATGAGTCATGCGATTGCCAAGCGAGAGAGGAGGCTGAACAAAGCCTGGTTGATTTGCTGATTAGATTGTTGCTCCAGGTTCAGACCCCACAACTCACAAACTAGGCTCACACAAAGAATATTGGGAGCTGTAGTTTTTTTAAAGGGTGCTGTGAATTGTTGCTCTGTGAGAGGCAATCTACAGTTCTCAGGATTTCGGGGAGGCCATGTTTACGCAGCCTCTCAGCCCATCTTACCTTGCGAGGTTGTTGTTGATGATTAAGAGCGCGAGGGGCAATATATGTTGCCTTGATTTTCTCTGTAGGATATTTTCAGAAGAGGGAGTGTTTTTCAGCTTTTTCTCCCCAGGCATAGGTTAACTCACTTGCTTTCCCCCCTTGCAAACAGAACCTACCCTCGTCCTTATGAATATCTGGACACCTCAAAACTGCCCAAGAGCTGGGACTGGAGGAATATAAAAGGAGTCAACTATGTGAGTGCCACACGCAACCAGCACATCCCACAGTATTGCGGATCCTGCTGGGCTCATGGCAGCACCAGCGCTTTAGCAGGTACGGAGCTGTAAGCTATTATTGCTTCGTAGGACTTGCTTCTCGGTCACTCTTGGCTCATTTCCCCATGGTTGGTCAACAGATAATTTGTTTTGCATTAGACCATTGCTTCTTGAGATCTGTCCTGTTGGTGGGAGTACATAAAGAACAAAGGAGATTCCCATTATTGGCTTAGACCATTTGCCCACCGAGTCCATTATTGCTGGCTCTGACAGAGGGGGAAGCCCTAGCTCCGTGGTAGAGCACTCTTTTTTGCAATATTACTTACCTACATTGGTTGAAAAGTCAACTTTGGGGTCAAAGTGTAACTTAAACAGTCACATAGAATTGTAGAGTTGGAAGGGACCGTGAGGGTCATCTAGCCCAACCCCTTGCAATGCAGGAGATTCTGACTAAACATCAGGATGAATTTTGTGACAGTAAGAGCTGTTCAACAGTGAAACAGACTCCCACGAGAGGTGGTGGACTGGAGGTTTTTACGCAGAGGTTGGATGGCCGACCCTCATGGATGCTTTAGCTGAGATTCCTGCATTGCAGGGGGGTTAGACTAGAGGACCCCTGGGGTCCCTTCCAACTGTTCGTTCTGTGAATCTTTTGCCGAACCTGGGGCTCAAACCCACAACCCTGAGATTAAGAGTCTCATGCTCTGCCAACTGAGTTATCCAAGAGTTTGTTGCTTCTTTGTTTAATCCCAGCCTCCCCTTCCCTTTCTCTCCTATGTTCAGGTTTAGATTGTAATCTCTCTGGGGCAGCGGCCTGCTGCCTTGTAATCTGTTTTGTGATGTGCACATTGATGGCACTATACAAAAAGATAAACTGTGTTAGGATTGGGTCTCCCAATTTTCTTTTTTAAAAATTACTTTAACAGCAAGCCTATGGAGGGATGGGTTCTGAACCCCCAGCCCCACTGTTTTCCTGAGCTTTCCCCCACCTGAAGCTGCTTTTTAACCTGCTAGGCATTTAACCTCTTCCTTTCTGTGATTCAATCCTAAAGCCCCACCCCTTGAATACTTCAAAGTTAAACTATTAAGAGAGCCAACGAGGGATTCCTCCCACGTATTATGTGGTCTGTGACATGGAATGGTGAATTATGTGTTTCTCTTGGTTTTCCAGATCGCATCAATATCAAGAGGAAAGGCATTTGGCCTTCTGCCTATCTCTCAGTCCAGAATGTGATTGACTGTGCCGACGCTGGCGGCTGCAGCGGAGGGGATGACTTGCAGGTCTGGAGTTATGCTCATGAGCACGGCATCCCCGACGAGACCTGCAACAACTACCAAGCTAAAGACCAAGGTGTGTGAGATCCTTCCTGTGTGAACCTAGCTGTAAAAGAGGGAAAACAACAGCATTCTTTTTACACCAGCCTTGCTAAATAAGTCCAGATTTTACTAGCCTGCCACCCACTCATAGGCGCCGACTCCATGGGGCCTGAGGGGGCTCGAGCCCCCTCAAAAAAATTTTTGGGGGGCTCAGCCCCCCCAATAATCTCGGGCGCCCTTCCAGCAGAGCGCCGCCGCCGTCCCCCGCCTCCTCCCCACCTGCTCCCTCGCCAGCCAGCCAGCCAGCCGCGCGCCCTAGTCGGAGAGCCCCGGCCGTCCCCCGCGAGCCGGGGGCTCCTGCCTCGCTGCTTCGCAGCACCACCGCCACTGCCAAGGCACTGCCGGGGGGAATTTCCTTCCTCCTGGCCCCCGCGAGAACAGGGGAATCCCGACTGGCCACACCTCCCAGCCAGCTGATTGGCTGGCTGGGGGGGCGTGGCTTGCCCTATTTAGGGCCGGAGCCACTTTATTTGCATATTCATGAGCTTATTTATTATTCATGAGCTTTCCCGGGCCCCCCCAATATTTTTTATAAGTCCGCGTCCCTGCACCCACTGCAATCCAAAGTGGAAAACTGGAGCTTGTCCTTGCCCTTGAAAACAGGATTTTAAAAAAATATCCCTTCCCTCCACTTTGCGGGATGCAGGTGGCGCTGTGGGTTAAACCACAGAGCCTAGTGCTTGCCGATCAGAAGGTCGCGGTTTGAATCCCTGCGACAGGGTGAGCTCCTGTTACTCGGTCCCTGCTCCTGCCAACCTAGCAGTTCGAAAGCACGTCAAAGTGCAAGTAGATAAATAGGTACAGCTCCAGCGGGAAGGTAAACGGTGTCTCCGTGTGCTGCTCTGGTTCACCAGAAGCGGCTTAGTCATGCTGGCCACATGACCCAGAAGCTGAACGCCGGCTCCCTCGGCCAATAAAGCGAGATGAGCGCTGCAACCCCACAGTCGGCCACAACTGGACCTAATGGTCAGGGGTCCCTTTACCTTTTACCACTTAGCTGGTTTTTAATAGTAATATGTGCCTTAAATGTGATTTTTACATTTCTTTATTTTGGTTGTTAAATATTCCAGAGTGACTTGTGTTACTTGGAAAGTAGGATAGAAAAAGATGCAAATAACTAAATAACTAGGCTGCACCAGCTGTCCTGCAGCAAAATTTCATCTTCTACTTTTAGCTGCAAGATCCCTGATGTCAAATGTAGGTGCTTGTTTTTGCAGATTGTGATACGTTTAACCAGTGTGGAACGTGTGATACTTTTGGAAAATGTCATATGATAAAGAACTACACCCGCTGGAAAGTTGCTGATCATGGTACTGTCAGCGGGCGGGAAAAAATGATGGCGGAAATCTATGCAAGTGGTCCTATCAGGTAAAGCACTACAAGGTTGCATAATAAGCATGGTCCGTGGTCAAGGATGATGGGAGTTGTAGTTCATCAACAAATGGAGGGCTACAGATTTCCCGGCCTCTGTTCCTTGGGTGGTATGGATGGTATTATTCTTTAAAAAACAAAAACCAGTGAAACAACCTTGCAATACTGTAAAGCAAATTGGTTAGCAACTTATTCTTTGTTTTAGCCCACACAAGGTGCCAGCCCACATAAGTCTGCTTGCGAAGCGTAAAAACACAACTCAAAGCAAAACTGGAGAAGTTATATGGCAACAGAACAAAGTAATTTTAAACACAGACCAGTTTTGCATTTATTTCTTTAATGAAGTAAAAATGGCAGCATAGATTCTAGCAGGTGCTGTGGAAAACCCCCCTACGCTTTCTAAAATAGCTCTCTTAATTGAGGTTAGGCCTAAATTACGGAAGCAAAACTGCCTGAAATAAATCTGTTTTAAAAATCTACTTAAGAATTTGCTTAGGAGCCATCTAAGCCTCCCACCCATGGCGGGAAGAAATTTCTGTACGGTGGTACCTCGGGTTACATACACTTCAGGTTACATACGCTTCAGGTTACAGACTCTGCTAACCCAGAAATAGTACCTTGGGTTAAGAACTTTGCTTCAGGATGAGAACAGAAATTGTGCTGCGGCAGCAGCGGGAGACCCCATTAGCTAAAGTGGTGCTTCAGGTTAAGAACAGTTTCAGGTTAAGAACAGACCTCCAGAATGAATTAAGTTCTTAACCAGAGGTACCACTGTAGTATGAAAATAATGTAATTCAGCCCCCCAACTGGGTGCCCTCTAGATGTTTTGGTTTATAATTCCTTTCACCCCACTGGTTGGATGAAAGTTGCCATCCAAAACACCTGGATGGTATTGAGGTTGGAGAAGGCTGATGTAATAAGCAAAAGTGATGTTTCTTTAGTGACCCGGTTTGGTTGAACCTCCTATTCCAGTAAACTATGGACGTATTCCCATGTTCAGAATAGCTTCCAAAATTAAAATTTAATGCTTGGAAGAATCTTACCAAATGAGTAAGACTTCAGTCCTGTTTGCATTTACCTGGGAGTAGGCCCCATTGAACTTTGCGGGACTTGCATCTGAACAGACATTACACACTGCGTTGTAAGCTTCACTCTGTTTAACGTGGCCCATTAAATGTGTTTAATGTGTGCCTTTTGGCAGATTTCTGTTTACGAGCTAACTCGGCTTTTGCAGTTGCAATTAGTCTAGCAACAACTTCCCCATGCCTTCTTTGTGACTGGTTTTTTAAAAACCAAATGTTTTCTCTTAAACTGCAATGACTCTAGTCTGTCTGGAAGTCTCTAGCAGACCCTGACGCTGCCTTTTGAGAGTCTCTTCCCCATGGTGTTAGCAAGGTGCACTGAACTCAATAGGATTGACACTGGAGTATATATGTATAGGATTGTACTGTTTATCCTATGAAAGCGCCAATTTGTCTCATGCCTGACGCCCAAACCAGTCTTTGCTCAGACCGTGCACCATTTTCCTGGAAGCCACATTGTTTATTTTAAAAACCCAGACTGAAAACTGTTGACCCTTGCCAGGTTTTTACCCAAAGTGGCTATTCAAAAGCTGTTGGTTTGCATTAGCATTTTTAATTGGATGTAATTTAATTTATACAGCTGTGGGATCATGGCCAGCCCGAAGCTGCACAATTACACTGGAGGACTTTATGCTGAATATCGTCTGCTGCCGTCTATAAACCATGTCGTTTCTGTTGCTGGCTGGGGTGTCGAGAATGGAACCGAGTATTGGGTTGTCCGGAACTCTTGGGGCGAGCCATGGGTAAGCAGGAGATGAAGACCGCAAGCAACATCTCTCCACAAAGAGAGGTTGGAGAGTCCTACGGACAGGGCCTTCTCAGTGGTGGCTACCCTGATGCAGTGCAGTTGTAAACGGTGAAGGATGGCTTTAATCCTCTAAGTCAAGGATGGGAAACCTTGTGCCTAGGGGCCAAATGAAACCCTTCTGTCTGGCCCTCAGAACGGTCCCCAGGCCTCCCAAGCCACACCCCCTCTTCCTCAGGCCACACCCTTCACCAGCTCTGCTTTGTGCTCTCCCTGGGTACTCTTGCCTGGCTCAAATCCCTGGGATAGCTCAGTTAATAAAGCATGAGACTTTAAACCCCAGGGTTGTGGGTTCAAATTCGACGTTGAGCAAAAAGATTCCTACATTGCAGGGGGTTGGGACTAGATGACCCTTGTGGTTCCCTTCCTACTCCACATTTCTGTGAAATGTACGCTCGAACTCTGACAATGCTTCTTGCTTGCTTGGAGGATAGAGGGGAGCAGGCGTGGAAACGAGCCTCCTGCTACACGAAAGCAAAATTTTCATTCATTGCTCCGCCCACTTTTGCATCTAGCCACGCCCACCGGCAGCTTATGGCCCTTGAAAGGTTTGCTAGAGAGGAATGTGGCCCTTGGCCGAAAAAAATAACATTCCCTGTCCTAAGTAATAAAGAGTAAGAATGTGAAGGGACGTTGGACAGGGCAAGTCTCTCACCTTCCATTATATATTGCAGTTGTGGCGCCCCCAAGGCTCTGTGCCCAGTGCAACCAAACCACTCGCGTTCCCCTAAATCAGAGGTTTTCAACCTTTTTGGGTCCGCGGCTCCCTTGACCAACTAGTCTGTCTGTGGCACCCCTGTGGAGCTCAGGAGCCCAGTTCTGTCACCCCTTGCCTACAGAGCTGGCAGCCTCTCCACCCTTTTTCGAACACCATTGAGTCTTTCCTCAGCCTCCTCTCCTCTCCCCTCTCCTTGGGAGTCCTCTGGGCAGCCACTGCCACCACCCCTGGTCTCTTAAGCTGCTCCAAAGAAAGGTATCTCCTCACATTGCCCCACAGGAGCCTGGGAAGCACCCCTGGCCAGCTCCAGAGGTCCCATTTTCCTGGGGAGCTCATAGCCAGAGCTGCTGCAACAAACAGCTATGCAAGCCTTTGGGAGGCAGAGATGCAAGAGGCCATCAGAGGAGGGAGGGAAAGAAGAGGGACAGAGGCCAGGGTTGCTCACACACCCCTGACCATCATTCAAGCAGACCTTCTCTACTTGGAGATGCTGGGGATTGAATCTGGCACCTTTTAGATGCAAAGCAGATACTTTGCCAATGAGTAGTCACTCAAAATAGATGCTTTTGATTTTTAAAAGTTGATGAGGACAATAGCTTGGATTCCTTCTGTTCCGCTCATGGATCAGGGATTTCCTGCCTTGCCACTTCCAAGCTGCAATTCCTTCTACACCCTGTATCTACAGCTAAGCATGGGGAGATGCTCTGGACTGATATACAGGAAAACTGGGAAATCCCCCTCTCACTTTGCATGAGAACTGCTTTTGTTTGCACACACGGCACTACTGGATTCAAGCTGATAATTGCAATAATTTCTCCAGCAAGGATACAGGCTAGTGTTCTCCTGAGCTCTGGAGCAGGAAATAGGGTGTGATTTGCAGGAGTGTATGCCCAAGTTAGCAATAACCAATACCCAACCAACCAGATCAATGTGTTTTGTGGCTGGAGATGGCAGAGGCCCATGATCCAGAGACCTGTGATTTCTGCTGCTTGTTAAGATCCCTTCTTGTACGTGCACATGACAGATCTGGAAAGACAATCTGTTTCTGCCCATGCAGTTACCTGTAGGTGTTTCTGACATGTGTTGTGCAATGAGCATTTTCAGGGCAGCACCGTAAGGTGAAAAGTTGGCTGAACGTGAAGTTGTCCTGATACACCTGTGCACTGATGCAAATTTCATCTCTTTCCAGGGCGAGAAGGGCTGGCTTAGAATCGTAACAAGTGCATATAAAGGGGGGAAAGGAGCATCCTACAACCTTGGTGTTGAAGAACAATGTGCTTACGGAGACCCAATTCTTCCTTAACTCTACTGGAGGAGGATCTGGAAACACATGTTCAGAAGGCAAGGACTGTCCCAGCCCACTGCTTCGCAAAGGGATGAGTTAATACTCTGCAGCAGCCATTAATCATGGAACGGTGAACCTTTATTCTTTCTTGAACTAAACCTTTCTCTTAAAATAATTCAATGTTGTTTATGAAATGACCCAAAGAATGACATGCACTGATTGCACTGAGAGAAGCAAAGCAAAGAGTTTTTATTACTTTTGCATATGGAAATTAGTTAATTTTTATCGTAGTTATTTTACAGCTTTCTGGGCAGGGAGAGACTTTTCTCACTGTACAGGCATAGTGGAGAGGAGGAGATGATTTGAGTCAGAAAAGCTTGGAAACGTGGGTGCCTCCTTGCTTTCTATAGGGCTCATTTTTCTTGCTGAAAGTCTTCAGGAGCTGTTCAGTAACAATGATAGTATTACAGAACCAGCTGTTATGTGACGAGCTATTGATGGTCCTCCTTTCAGTCTTGCCCCAAAGTGGGCAACCTGTTATCTTCCAATAGGCTGCTGGGTCTGCATTCCCCCCCCCCCATAATCCCAGATCATTCAGGCTGATGGACATCATGGTCTCCCGTCCCTGGTCAAGCACAGGATTTGCACTCATCCATCTACAAGCTGCTGAACTGGCTGGTAAGCATTAAGGAGCAGCTTCCTAGCAGTATCAGCTCATATTTTGAACACATGGCATTCTTGTTATTACCCCACACTGACCTATCTCCTCTCCCCTGGAGCTGGGTGCGGCTTTTAAGGCTGCTTAGTGCACGGTCACAGCTACTTATCTTGCCTTCTGCAGTCTCCATTCTCTTCCTCATAAGCTGCAGATCAGATCAGAATCCACTAGTTGACTATGGAGGGTTGTGCTAAAACTAGCAGCAGCAGTAGCAGTAGGCCAGCACTCCTTGTGAGATTACAGCTGAGCATTGCCTCCACCCCATCGTCCTGTTCCCCTAGGCTTCTGGCACCCGCTGTTTCAAGTAAGGGTAAAACAGCGGCTGCAAGCTATTTCTGCACAAGCTCCCCAGGGTGTCAGGGGAAGGCAGGCTGTGTGATTTTGTCAACCTATGACCAAGCTCAGCGACGCCACCAGCCAATCACAGCCTGTTTTTGCTCCATATGGGGAACAGCACAAACAAGGGTTGCCAAGTACCTTGTAAGCTAGAATTCACAGCTAATGCAGGTTGAGTTTGGTGGCTCATAAGCTAAACAGCCTTGAGCTTTGGGTATTCAGATCCTTTCTGGATTGTAGCACACAACCTGTGAGGGAGATTTTGTCTAGTTCATTAGCTAAGGTTCCATGATTACACTTTGCACAGTATTTATTTATATTTAAAATATTCCTTAACCACCCTTCATCGAATGATTCCAGGGCAGTGCACAGAAGTGTGAATGAAATTGATTTATATGCAACATATCAGTACAATACCATTTAAAACCAACAAGCACAACCCACAAAACTTTAGAAAAATACATTTCGCCAAGGCATCTACCATGTCTGTGACCGTAATACCTTTAAAGAAACTCACGCAACATTTAATAAAAAATGAATTTAATAAAAAATATAACTTAACCTACTTTGTGTCGTTTTCCCTCTTACAGGTACAAGAAAAAATAGTGCTGTTTTGATGCACTCAGATAACTTTAACAAGACCTATTTTTACACAGTAACGAAACTTAGCGGTTAAGGTTGAGATTTCCCCTCCAATAAGGCCAGTGATTCTTCACCAGGGTCTGGCGGTAGTATGTAAACACTGTGACACACAAGTAAGTTCTGCCAAGATTGTGTATCATTTATATATGAAGAAAGGGCTTCATAAGTGGTTTCTGGAATGCAGTAGGAACCAGCAATACTGCAGCTAACTGTCAACTAACAGCTAATGGTTTATTCATAAGTGACTGCCATTAAGTGGCTGAACACTACCATGACTTTCAGTGTGAGACGCACACGAAGATATTTATAACTTGGGGGAGACAAGTAATTTAGTCAATCATCCCATGCAGATGTTTACAGCAGGGGTGGGGAGCCTGTGGCCCTTCAGATCTGGACTCTAACTCTCATCAGCCCCAGCCAGCAAGGCCAATGGTAACAGATGATGAGATTTTTAGTCCAGCATCCTCTGGCAGTCAGCAGGTTCCCCATCCCTCTTTTATCTGATTGTCAAGGATCAAACTGTATGTGAGGTATTCACACACTACCCTTCTAGGCACAACTATCGCTTATGCATAAGAGTGTGGGAAGGAATCATTCCCTGATGGAAATTATTAACACAAGATTTAGCCCTATATGCTGCAAGACGTCAACCACACACTGGAAGAATGCATTCCCCCCCAGGGAACTAAGGCTAGGAGCACCTAGTGCTAGCTTTCCCCTGACATACATTCAATTCTGCTACACAAACAGCACAAGTCCTATACTTGGAGTCGCAAGCAAATGCTCCTGATGCTCCAAGGTTTGGGGGCTGGGAAACCAATTAATTTCAGCTAAACTCTGTCCTAGTTTCAACATTTTGGAAGCCCAGCAGTGTGAAACTCCTGGTCCACCTAAAACAGCAACCAACAAACTGCTCTTTCTCCCAGTTCTTTGATGCAATTTGCATTAGGTCGCTCTGCAGTTCATCCACAGCAACTGTAACTGGGTGTCTCTGCTGGTTCAGTTGACCATGATGAAGTTCGATTTACAGTGAGCTTTAAAGAAAACAGATGAAACAAGACATGATGACCTGCATGGCTCATTTTTTTTTTATCAATTCACACAGAAAACAGATACTGATTCATTCATTTATACGCCAATCTCTCCTTGCAAAACAGCCCTTCAGTCGCCATGCACGAACACTCAGCATCTCTGCTATCCACTCAATACACTGATAAAGCAGGAGGTTCTCGTGTGTTACCAAAACTTAAGCCACAAAACATTACCTGGGCTTTAGGATGCCATGAGGCACTTTGGCACTCCAGTTCCTCAATGTTGATTGCTAGCCCATCTATGGGTTTGCATTATAACAGGCTACAGAAGCTTAAATTTCTGCTGGCCAGTGACATTTGTTCTACACTGGTGAGCAGGCCAAGGTCCTGGAAAGGTAGACCACCGCAACACTCATGAGGAGCTTTGTTCAGAAATCCTCAGTTAAGTCAACTTGTTCGCTCTGGTGAGGGCTGAATAAACTGAAATGGAAACTCAAAAGCATGGGAAACAATTTACCTATGAACTCTGTGACGGGGTCATGCTCGCCTTCAGTCTTAATCGTTCCTGCAATGCTGTCGTTCTCCAAGATCGGAAGAAAAAGCTGCACAAAGTCAGAGGTATACGGAGGAGCAATGACATCCAGCACCTGGGGAGATAATCGAGATAGCAGAAGGCTGTGGCTTACACTGTTTTAACATGTGGAAATAAGACATAGTGGTTGATGCATTGTCTCCCGATCTCAGAGAGTAGTTTGTCATTTAACAGAAACTTATAAACATGCTTCTGCAGATGATGACATCCACCTACGGACACAGAGTTGCATGCAGCGTAGTGCTGACAAATGTGTCTTCTTGTCGCAACAGGACTTCTCCCCCTCTCCACCAATCTGTTCTGGGGTCCCCCCAACCTTCTGCGGAAGATTTTGGGTAGGGTGCAGGGCGTCCGCCGGGGGAGGGGGGGGGAGGCAGATAGTGCAGTGATGTCTGCTTGCATGGGCAGAATGTGCTAGTTGGATCCCATCCACAGCATACAATATAGCAGTTGACGTTTCAGGAAAGGCAGAGATAAGCAAAACGAGGACAGAATTATTCCTTCAGTTTCTGGCAACCGTGCATTCTACCCAACACAGCATGAAGTAACTGTCCCATCAGCACAAGGATTTACCCTTGTGCAACAGGACCTCCAATCCCCCCCCCCACATCAAAAACCAAAAACAGGTGGGCAGGTGGGGGAGGAGAATGTTCCATTGTACAAGTGTAAATCTTTGAACTGATAGGACAGTTGTTTCGTGTTATACTGGACGTAATCCCATAAGTCTAGCAGCAATGAATAGATTCCAAATCATTTCTGTATGTTTAAGTTCTATTCGTTCCAAACTGCGGGAGGCAGTGGAAGACAGGAGTGCCTGGCATGCTCTGGTCCATGGGGTCACGAAGAGTCGGACACGACTAAACAACAACAACAACAACACAATATCAGAACAAAACTGTCCTGAGAGCCATGTGATATTCGAAGCCTTGCTCCAAGTGCCTTGCCTTCAGAGGTTACCTGGGTGGTGACCACCAACAGCCTTTTCTGTGATGGCACTCTGGCTATATTCCCTTCTCAGAAATATAAGTTTGGCTACATTATCATTTAGGTGCTTTCCTGGCCTTTTAGTGGATGACTTGACTATAGGCTTGGATCTTTTGTTTTTACTGACTTGGTTGAAAGGCTTGTTAAGGACAAAGGTGGGATACCTGTGTTGCAAATAAAATAGCCAAAAGGCCACAACATAGTCTTAAGGCTCCCAATTTAATGAGCAAGTGCAAACTAATCTGCATAAACACAGCTTTGCAGGTTCCACGTAGTCACTGACCTCTGTCACAAAGTATCTGATCAGGGAAATGTCCGTGTCCAGCTTCTCAAGACACTTCCGTATGTAGCCAACCACCGGAAGGACATAGCCTCGACTGAGCAAGTGAACCATCCTGTCCAGAAGGGTTTTTTTAAGTTCCAGCTGAAAGGACAAACAAGGCAGGACGTTTGTCTTTGAAACTCAGCCTAAGTAAAAACTTAAGATAGTGTAACTGAGGGATCTGTTCATTCTCTAGCAAAGATTCCAAACTGCATTAATCATAGGCATTAACCATTTAAAGATGACAAGACCTGCCTTGCTGAATGAGAAGAAGGGCTGCTCTTGCTTGTGGGTCTGATTCACACAGAGTAGCCTCTGAATGAGGATGTAGGAAAGCTTCCTTTGGCAGCCATGAGTTCCAACAGCAGGCCTGTGCCTGGAATGGAACCCCCACACACACATCCAGCCCTCTTGATCTTGCTCTGGAGAAGGAAAGGGTTGCTGACTGCCCTCAGCAATGCCCCACTTTGTCCTACCAGGTTGTCATTTCTGAGAGTTCTGCCTCCGCTGCTCCTTCTGCCATGAGCTGCTTTTTCAGATGTCTCTGGAGAGTTTGCAAGCGGCAACAAATCACTTCCTATGTTCCAAACACCTGGTTCTCTGAGGCAGCGTCCCGCTGAACACTGAGGTTACATTCAGCTCTCGTAACTAATGGCAATTTGCTCAATCTATCTTCCCTGTATCTGTTTCCCTTCTGAATCCCAGGATCACCACTAAACTGCAAGGATGAATTCCACGAATAAGTGTTTTGTGAAATACTACTTTTTGCCTGCCCACTGACTTGCCAGTCAATGCCAGCTCAAGGTCTAAATCTATTATGCCAGCAAAGTTATGTAAACTTTTATAGCCTCGGGTGAAGAAGTTACGCAACTCTTGATTTTTGGCACAACGGACAATTGGCAAGGATATCAGCTGAGATGGGAGGTAATACTGAAAAGCCCTTACTCATGATGCATCTGTCTAGTTCTTGCCAGCTGAACCCATGTACAGGAGAATGTACAAGAACAAATTCTCTCTTTTCTTGGCCCCACAAGAAGATTATATCCTCCTTCAATGAGAATATGGAGATGTAACTTTCATTTCTTAGTACAAGGATGGGGAAAGCAGTCTCCAGCTATTGCTGAACTCCCCTCAGCCCTAGGCAGTATTGTCTGATCAGAGATGACTGGAATAGGATTTGGCAACAGATCATTTGGAAGGGGAATGCTGCAGGGTTCTCCCATACTCTGATTTGTTCAGTGTCCCTTAAATAAAAGCAGAATTCTGCCCAGCAACTACAAGGCACAGTTATTTCCCACAAGAATCCTTCATTCACTTTCCTGCAGATGCCTGCTAAATTCTGCAGAAGAGAAGAATCCCCAAGATCAGGGGCCAACACTCTGAAGACATTGCTGCCTATGCTACAAAAGTGGCATAAAGGTTTGCAGCCCCTGAACACGCCCCCACCTGCAACTTCACAAAACAACAGCTCCCAGGATTGCTTGGGCAACCTGCTTCAGTTCTGTAGCACAGAAGTGAGAAGGAGAAAAAAGGCTTGAGCAAAATCTAAACCTCTGAATTTTCATCACCTGTTCCATGACATCGAGCTGAGAGTGCTCCGTCTCAAAGAGTTTGACCAGAAGCTGCAGGACCAGAGGATGAAGGAGTTGATGGCATGTACTGATCTGCAAACCAGAAGGCAAACACGTAAGGTCCTCTAGACTCCTATTAAGAGACACATTCTTAAAACACATTCTGGATAGCTCAGTTGGTTAGTGTGTGGTGCTGATAACAGTATGGTTGCAGGTTTGGGACAGCTGCATATTCCTGCCTGGTTGTGGGGTTGGAATCGATGACCCTCAGGGTTCCTTCAATCTCTACCAATTCTATTATATGAAAACATATTAATATACATCACAGCCTCTCATTCCAGAGTTCCAAACTTCACTAACCCAGATGGATCACCTGCAAAAAATTTCACCTTCTAGGAAATACCCAACATGGAATTCTTAAACACAGAGTCCAGGTCTACATACAACACAGCAGAAAGAGGTGGCCTCATAGGCTCTGCCACTTCACAGGGCACCTCATTTTCAAAGCTCACACACACACAAAGGACTAAACTAGGATGAGAGAGGAAGAGTCTAGGCCAGATTTTTTTTTTACACACTGGGGTTTTTTTGTTTTTTGTTTAAAGGGCAGTGTTAAAAAATGCGATCCTACCTGCTGTAGTCTGATATGCTATCCATCCTAACACTTCAAATTGCTGCAGGTGCAGACAAGACAGTAGTCATTTCAGTACCGTTACCAGCTAGTGGCTGACTGTAGAGGTAAATGCAAGCCACATTTCTAAGCTGTTCCTAAAATACATGCTTCCACGATGCTCAGGGACAAGGGGTAGAAAAAAATCTGGGTGTAGGGGATGGGAAAGGATGGGAACTGTCTGCTGAAAAGGATGTCTCTTCTCTGCTGACAGGGCTTTGCAGCTGATCTTTCAGTCATACCTTGGAAGTCAAACAGCTTAGTTCCTGAATGTTTTGGCTCCCGAACACCACAAACCCAGAAGTGACTGTTCTGATTTGCGAACTATTTTTGGAAACCAAACGTCCAATGGTGCTTCTGCAGCTTCTGATTGCAGCCAATCAAAAGCCATGCTTTGGTTTTCGAACGTTTTGGAAGTCAAACAGACTTCCGGAACGGATTCTGTTCGACTTCCAAGACTGTATTCCAACTTCCAACTGTATTATTATTAGCCAATCATTTTAATGATTATGTCTACTGTTTTCTATTGTTTTTTTCTCTATTATTACTGTATCACCAGCCTGGTATTTTATGATATGCTGGTCTAGAAATACCACAATAAATAAATTAAAATAAATAAATGCATGGGCCTTAACCTCCACGCAGAGTTTTCAACATTACTGCTTCTGACAATCTTAGCCAGGGCTACGCAGTTATCCCACAATTCTGGGCAAGTGAAGAATTTGATACTGGATCAAATGTTCAGCATCCCCCAAACACCAGCTTTCACTTAAGAACAAACTAAAGCTTCTATCTTCATGGTTGGCAAAATGGGGCACCTTGACGCATATGCATGCAAAGCCGGGTGAACGTTCAACAACCAGAGGGGATTTCCAGTGGTTAAGATGTGGAGCTTCAACGCCCTGCAAAACTCTTTGCCCCTTCCCCCAGGACCAGCAGAAGTAAACCACACAAAACACATTATTTGTCATGTCGAATTAAATGTAGCGTGCGTGCGCACAGACACACATACAGCCCTGACCTTACCTCATCCAACAGCGCCAAGTGCACTGGAGTATGATCAGTCTGAAGCTGGAAATAGCGGGGCTCTGACACTGTCCAGTCAACCCATTTCAGAACCCCCATTGCTACTACTGGAAACCTAAAAGATACAGGGAAGCCATGCTAAATATCATTTAATGATTTATGTATTTACAGTATGCACTCCTATTTTAAAAAAATCACGATGGTATGCAACACAAGAGAGTAAACTCAGCAGAAGTAACCATAAAACAAGAAAACATCAATTAATACTGATTGGTTTCAAAAAGAAAATTCATCTTGCAGAGGCCCATCTGTCCCGAACAAGCTACAGCTGAATGCTTTAACCTGTTGTCCATTGGAAGCTTCCAGATCTGAATGTCTGCCATGACCTCACCATTTCTCTTTTGCTGTTGCAGTCTTTCCAGTCTGACATTGCCTCATGTGACCCTGAGCTGTCGGCCCAATCTGGAAAATGCCTAAGCTGCAGAGCAATACTGACCCCCACACAGGAAGGGGTGCTTGTTGTTTCTTCTGTGGATTAATGTTGGAAAAACAGATCCTAACCTTTTAAGGAAACTGATTTGCTTTAAGCAAGGGTACTGAAAGTCTCTCCCCATGACACAGAAGCCTAGCTCAGCATTGAGCGGTATATTATGAACTAATCCAATAATAAAATGATAATGATATTATTAATACTAATAGGTGGTATTCAACTCCTGCATTTGAACAGGACGATGATCTCCACTTGCACAACAGGACTTTGCCCCACACCTTCTCTAAATTTGTTCCAAAGAGTTGGGGGAACTCGTAGAACAAACTTTGGGGTTATGTTACAAGGGGGGGGGGGTCAGAGCAGGGAAGAATGTTCTGTTGCACAAAGAGAAATTCACTCACAGAACAAGAGACTCACTGCTCTGTTGGATTCCACTTAATAATAAACAAAGAAACAACAGGCAAGGATCAAGGTCCAAACAGTTAGCAGCCCATGGAAATAACCTTCATCCTAAGGTTATCAACAGCTGCAGTGAACATATGTTTTTCATTTGTATTTCAATATTTATTATTGTAAGCTGTCCAGAAAGGTTATTAGTTGGCATATAAACAATATATGGCATATAAATATCTGTACTAAGGAAAAGCAAAAAACTGAAGTGTTTCCACATTAATGCCAGCTTTACTCTCAAGCAAATTATTCAAAATCTTCTTCCAAGATTTACCTGATGCACTGGTAAAGGGTACTCAGTTCTGCTACAAGTTCAGAGGCGCCTTTATTTTCATTGCAGCAAAGATTGTGAACAGTCTCAATCGCTTTTGTGGTGGACTTGAGTTCATCTTTATTTATGCTCACTCTTTTGTTCTACAAGTGTGATAAAATGTGGTATGGGAGACAAGAGGAGTCATGAGTGTAGAACTGGCCCATGGTACAGATTGCAATTTCATCAACCTTCCTGAAGAGTCAATGTTTTTGTGCTCTCTGCATGCCTTTCCTTTCACTTTCCACAAACAAGATAATATCATTAAGTAACGTGCAGAAGAATTTCCAATCTGATGCCATGAAGATATGCAAGGACAATTTATTGATCAAAGTGGAAGATGACCCATTTATATCCTAAGGGAAGGAGCCATGAAGGCATGCAATAGTTGATGGGTCAACAGGTTCATTTGATAGCTTAAAACTGGCTCAAGCTATCAGCTGGCTACTGTCTTTCATCCTCAGTCCCCCTACCCCAAACCTGTAATATAAGGATGCCAATAGAAACTCACCTTGCAGGCTTGTTGTATACTGAGATACTGTACAAAAAGCACTTTGAGCATTTTTAAAGATGCTCTGTAAAAGAAACTCAAGTTGTTGTTTTTAAGCTGGTTATAAGTTATCACTTCTGGCAAGACAGGAGTCAAGCTTACAGCTTTATTCTAAATTACGATGAAACATAACACAAGCACATCCTTTATCCTGCTTTAATGCACCAGTTTACTCGTAAAGCAATAGAACAGAACTCAACTGAGCTTACCTTTTTCCATGTTTCCACAACACTAGCTGCATATGCCAAAATATGAATATATTTGTGTTTATGGTCCTGATTGATCTTGGCACCTGGCTTAAACAGCGAAAGCATGAAGAGATCCAGGAAAGCGGGAACTCTGATCTGAGAAACAGTAATATAGGACACCTATATGAGCCAGAGTGGTGTAATGGTTAGAGTGTCGGACTAGGACCTGGGACACCAGGATTCAAATTTCTACTCAGCCATGAATCTCACAGGGTGACCTTGGCCCAGCCACTGCCCCTCAGCCTGACCTACCTCACAGGGTTGTTGTGGGGATTAAATGAGGAAAGGGGATAAGCATGTGGGCCACCTGTGAGCTCCCTGGAGAAAAATAGCATATAAACGCAATATGGTTGTGATAAATAAATAGACAATAAAAAATAAAAAAAAGACAAGAGGCAGCTTATGCAAAACCATGGTTTTAAGAGTCACCAAACACAGAATCTGTATCATGATCATGTTTCTAGTAAAGTGGATTTCGTAGACAAGGATTTCATAGACAAGGTTTGGTAAGAGTCCTAATGCCATAATCAAAATACAATTTCAATTAAAAATACCAAGAGAGTTGATTTTACCCAAATCACATAGTACCCCCAAACCACCGAAAAGCCTGGTCAACAGGATGGCCTAGAGCGGGGGGGGGGGCAAACTTGTGGTCCTCCAAGATGTTGTTGGACTCTCGCTCCCATCAGTCACAGCCCAGAAGGCCAACGATCTGGGATCATGGGAGTTGTACTTCAGCACCACTTGGAGGGCCACAAATTTCCCTGTCCTTGGCCTAGATAATAAATAGACTGCAAACACACTCGTTTTTATTTTTGTCCTTGTTATCCAAGGCACGCTGTGTACCAAGGATGAGGAAGGTAAACATGCCAACATCTTTTTGGAGTCGGGGAAAGCTCATAGAGCAGTTTACAACTGCAAGTCATGAATCCCTGGCTGAAACCTTGTCTCAGTCACAAACTCTGAAGGTAATCTAAGGCAAGCCACTGCCTCTCAGCCTCTCGACTAGTATATAGCCTACCTTAATATGGCTGTAGAAGGGGATGCAATGAGACAGTGTATGTGAAGCATTGTGGACTTTGAATAACTTTCTAAATATGCTAGCAATTATTATTAGGCATTGTGCTATTAGAGGTGCTAAGGGATAGTTCTCTTTTCCTTACATTCATAGTGTCTGTGCAATTGTTAGCAACTCAGGTGAAAAATAGCAAAGGTTAGAGGGAAAGGAAGCAAGCCAAGATGCAAAGGTGCCTTAAGAGATACTTAAAAAGGTAAAGGTAAAGGTTCCCCTGCCCGTACGGGCCAGTCTTGCCAGACTCTAGGGTTGTGCGCTCATCTCACTTAAGAGGCCGGGGGCCAGCGCTGTCCGGAGACACTTCCGGGTCACGTGGCCAGCGTGACAAAGCTGCATCTGGTGAGCCAGCGCAGCACACGGAAACGCCGTTTACCTTCCCGCTGGTAAGCGGTCCCTATTTATCTACTTGCACCCGGGGGTGCTTTCGAACTGCTAGGTTGGCAGGCGCTGGGACCGAGCAACGGAGCGCACCCCACTGCGGGGATTCGAACCGCCGACCTTTCGATCGGCAAGCCCTAGGCGCTGAGGCTTTTACCCACAGCGCCACCCGCGTCCCTATGAGATACTTAAAAGCATGTTAATTCACAAGAAGAGGCTATAACTGTGCAGTGAAGGAGTGGGAGCAATGAGGTGTTTTACACGCTTGCAGAGTCCTTGATGCCATTGAAAGCGTAGCAGGGGAAAAAAGCCTCTTCAACAGAAGCTACTGATACTTACCAGCTCTACCGGAGGAGGATCCATGCTCGAAAACATTTTGTGCAAGACTGTGATGTCTGCTGGGTTCAACGCTCCTTTCGATAACATGGCACCAAGCGCTTGGCAGGCTCGAGGGTACGAAGCAGCCGTTCCCAGAGCTAAAGTGATCTGACTAGCATCGTGGCCTCTTGAGAAGGTCAAAACAAGAAGAAGAGAGAATTTTAGGTGATCTGTAGACTAAGAGGTCCTAGACTGCCAACAGGAGCAGACAATACTAAACGACTTCCAAGGGTGCTGAGCAGGTTAAAAATGACCCCAAAGAACCCCATGATCAAGATACGCAGAGCAGCATCCTTCAGATTGGGTTTGGGCTTATCATCAAACACACCAGAGTTACTTATCATCTAGCCCACTGCTGCATGGCATTATTAAGTTTACTTATACAGTGGTACCTCAGTTTAAGAACAGCCCTGTTTAAGAACTATTCGGTATAAGAACTCCGCAAAACCAGAAGTAGTGTTCCAGTTAGTAAACTTTACCTCGGTCTACGTACTGGTGGAAGGGCACCAGCGGCGGGAAGCCTCATTAGGGAAAGCGTGCCTCGATTTAAGGAAAGTTTTGGTTTAAGAACGGACTTCCGGAGTGGACTAAGATTGTAAACCGAGGTACCACTGTACTTTAACGATTGTTTCCATTATTAATACATAGTTCACACACTTGTATCCCTATCCTGCCTTTTCCTAAGCCCCAGATCTGCTTAACCCCAGCTACTAATTGAAAACACAAGCTAAACAATCTTATAAATGTCTGAAAGACGTTTGGGCAGCAATGAGCCCTCTAGGAGCAGGGAGTTGCGCAGCTGTGCGTCAGTTATTAAGAATGACTTCCTTTATGCCCTCATAATTCAAGCATGAAAGGAAAGGTCCTCCCTTGCCTATCTTAAGACACTGCTGCAGGACACTGTGGAGTCTTTCAGTTCAGAAATACCTGCTGATTTGTGCATGAAGCACAGCTGTAAGACCTCCTATTCCCAGGAGTCAGAAGGCTTTGTGTACTCCCAATGATGCACCTAAGGCAGAAGGGTTGCTCTGGGAAAAACCACGAAAACCTGCACGCCAGGTATTCTGCCGGCTCTATGATCTCATGCCATACTTTTAACTTCCTAAAATGAACTTCACAAGTGGGTTGTACCAGGTTTCCTTTTTCACCAAGCTTACATCTAAACTGGGAGAGCACAGGGCAATCAGAGCCACAGATAAATTAAGAAAAAGAGCTTTAAGTGCAGCAAGATCTTACTTCTCGTGAGCAAACCGCTGAACCTCTTGAGCAATCCTGCGTACAGCAGAGCCACCTTGCTCTTCTTGAGATAATATGGACATTATCGCTTGGGCAAAGAGATACGTGTGTTCACCATGGCACACCATTTTCTGCAAATACAGAGACACAGATGAGCAGCAGCTCTAGAAACGACCGGTCCTTAAAAAAAGGTAGCAATACAGTACAGTGGTGCCTCACAAGACGAAATTAATCCGATCCGCGAGTCTCTTCGTCTTGCGGTTTTTTCGTCTTGCGAAGCATGGCTATTAGCGGCTTAGCGGCTATTAACGGATTAGCGGCTTTAAGAAAAAGGAAACAAACTCGCAAGAACTCGCAAGACGTTTCGTCTTGCGAAGCAAGCCCATAGGGAAATTCGTCTTGCGGAACAACTCAAAAAACGGAAAACCCTTTCGTCTAGCGAGTTTTTCGTCTTGCGAAGCATTCGTCTTGCGGGGCACCACTGTATCTTCTGATTTATGGAAGCAGAGGCAACAAAAAAAGTGGTCTGGCATGCTTAGCTGAGATGGGAATAGGAGAGAATCTTCTCTGTATCATTCCAATTTTAGCACAGCCAGAGGAAGCACAATAGCAGAGAATCTAGGAGGACATCAAAATATTCTGGAGTACAGAACTCATTTTCTGTAGTCGGCAGGGAAATGGGAGTCTGGCCCTGCAGCTTTGGCATATTGGGAAAGGGTCCAAAAGGTGTCACATGTCTCAGCACAATTTGTGGAAGGCTCCTCACATCCTCCCTAAATCAGGGAGCTTTGGGACATCAGATGCATCATAAAAAACAAGAATTAGAGTAGGAAAGAGACTTACAGCAAACTCAGGTAAATTCTTCTCCAGGTTTTCTTCCCCACCATCTAGGATAGTAGCCAGAGAAGTACGCAGTACTCGAGAAAAAACTTCCAACTGCTGGCATGCTGTTGATACGCTGGTTATCTCCCCTTGGTACCCGGCGTCAGAGATAAGCTGTAACAAAAGCATCAGCAGCTGAGTCAACTGCAGCACTTGAAGGCCAAAGGGAAGTTCACAGTCTGAAGAACCTCTCATTTTGGCAGATACCATTACATTTTCACTGGGCTGAAGCTGAAACAAAACTATGATCTAGTTGAGATTCCTGCATTGCAGGGGGTGGACTACATGACACTCAGGATCCATTGCAACTATACAATTCTATGATTTTGGGGCCTGTGGACATATTTGCAAACTGGTGAGGCTTTCATGCCCACCACATAGTCATCTCCCGCACCCAAGCATGGACTGCAACCTAAGTCACACCCCATATAAATTTTAAGCACTATTCTACATGTGTAACAGTCATAGAGAATCCTGGGAACTATAGTTGTTAACTGTGCTGATCTCACAGAGGTACAATTCCCAGCATCCTTAACAAACCACAGCTCCCAGGATTCTCGCATGATTTCCGAAGTGGTAAATAGTGCATTAAATGTATGGTGATGATGGGACCTTAGTTTGCTGACTGCAACAGAATGCTTCTTTCAAGTCTAATGGCTGGGGAACCCCAGCAAGATGGGTGGGGTATAAATAAATTATTATTATTATTATTATTTGTTATTATTAATGCTCGCAGCACGGCTTCAGGAAAGCTCGCCGTGACAACCTTGGGTCCATCTTTGTCGATCACAAAATGTGCCAATAAAAATGAATAAGAGTGCTAATGTGCGTGCACCTCTGATTTACAGAGGAAACAAGCCCTAATTGGTATCTTAATACTCAGCACACACCACATGCCATTTTCATCTAAAGCAGAGGAGGCTGGTCCGTCAGGGCAAGTGGGCCACCAACCTCATTTGCCCTCACCTGCCTGCCTCCTTCCTTACAACCAGGTCTAGTGGATGGCACTGCCTGTCAGCCTTTTCCTCCACCTTAGCAATGTCCTTGTAGAACTCAACAGAGAGGAAGATGGAGGCAAAAGCAGAATTAGTTGGCTCCACCCACTGTTGGCCTCCCTACTTCCCACCCTACTGTTCCTCATGAGCACCACCCTGCACTGATATGAAGGAGCATTCTTGCTGACAGTTATGCCCGCAAAGGGCTCTGCTTCCCTCTCTTCCTGCCCCTCTTGCTCATAACATGGTTTTCCAATTGACTGAAACAGATTATTACCTTCACAGTAAAGTTCAGCATGAGACAGTCTGGATGAGCTTCGGCCAGTTTGTAGAACAGATCCCGCCATGTAGTGTGCGCTATCATTTGCTCAAGCCATGCTGGCGTCTGCCAGGGGGAAAAAAAACAGAGCAACAGAATGGCACAGTCCCAGAGGCTGAGAAAAATCAACCTGAGGCTGCAAAACAGCTTTAGAATTTCCTAAAGAAAAAGCAGTGCTGTCCAGGGGGGAAATGTTGCATTTGCACCTTGGAGCTTGAATGCCTAGTCAACCACAACTTTGCTATCAGTTACCTACAAAGCAGCCAGAAAAAGTGTGAAAGACAACTTGAATGGGGTTTTTTTAAAACTGAGATTAACTGGCATTGCAGAGAACGGCTCCCAAGGTCTGTGAACCCATGGCAGAAAACAAGACTTGTGTGTGTAGTCAAATGTAAGCTAGTACAAAAATCCCAGGTTGGAAAAAGTAATGGATGAAGCAGCTCTAGGTGGAGTTAAGTATGTTATTATCCTGTTCTGCAGCACAGTGAGACAAGGCAAGGCTCAGTGAAAGGCAAGAAAACAAAAAGGAGAATAGGCTCTGGTGCTCTATTTTGAACTTGCCTGCAGAGGTTCAACATAAACGTGGGGTGTGTTATTGTTTAGTTTTGTTATTACAGGGGTACCTCGGGTTACAAACTTAATTCGTTCTGGAGGTCCGCTCTTAACCTGAAACCATTCTTAACTTGAGGTGTGCTTTTGCTAATGGGGCCTTCCGCTGCCACCGCCACATGATTTCTGTTCTCATCCTGGGGCAAAGTTTGCAACCCAGAGCAACTACTTCTGGGTTAGCAGAGTTTGTAACCTGAAGCGTTTGTAACCCAAGGTACCACTGTATTATGTATTTTTGTCTTTTTATCTTGTCTTTTTTATGCTGTGAACCACCCTGAGATCTATGGATGAAGAGCAGTATACAACTTTAATAAGTAATAATAATATTGATGAGAATAATAAATTTTGTTTTACCACTTTTTCAAGGTGGTTCTTTAAGAATGCGGTGTCTCTAAATTTAAAGGACTTGCATGCTTCTTGAGCTCCCAAAAGAATGTTTTCCTCCAAAACATGCATATGCCTCTAGGAAGCATGAGCACGAAAACACGATCCCACTCGTGATCTATATCTACTGATTTACAGAGGATATTCCGTACTTTTCCCTGTATAAGACGCCCCCTATTTTTTGGGACTAAAATATAAGAAAATGGGGGGGGAGAAGGCACAAAGTTGTTGAGCTTCTTTGGGGAAGGATTCCCCAGAGTTGCCGAGCCTTTTTTGGGGGGAATGCCGAAAATCGCTCACCCACATGTGTTGCAAAATCCACCTCTCATCTGTCCCATTGCTGGCAGAAGATGCCACCCATTGACGTAATCACCCAATAACACACACAATAGCCACTGACAGCCACGGCAGCAACCAATCAAACGTCCACCCAATGTACTACCCATGTATAAGACGACCCCCACTTTTTAGCATTATTTTTACAGGGGAAAAACTAGTCTTATACATGGAAAAGTACGGTACTCGTCTAAGCTGCCTTTGAGAAGGATATCATACTTGGCAGCATTAAGTTATGTGAATTACCTCTCCTTCCTCTGTGAAAATTGAATCTGCTTTCCGAGGATCAAAGTGCTTAATCAGCAAGCTTTTCAGGTGGTTTTCCACTGTCTCCTGGACTTGAATGGGCTCAACACCTGCAGTGAGAGAGATCCCTGTGTATGAATCTATGTCTGTCAAACAGAAATTCCTTCATGCTTCCTGTGACTAAACCTCATGACAAGGGAGCGCATACAGTACACCCTCTCTCTACCAAACTTAACCAGGAGGCAATTACAATCAGAAGATGTTAATTTTACAGTACTCTGATTCTGCCGGCAAGCTTTCATATGACATATCTATTTGCATCCCAAGTGTTAGCTATTCAGTTAACTCATCCATTAAAGTGCAGCCGATTCTGAATCATAGGTCTATTATTCCCCCCTTAATGATAACTCAAAGCAGTAGTCAAAATATTTTTAAGTGACTAAGAGGTAGGAACGATTGGAACCTGAAGGCCCTTTAGTCATGCTTCAAAAAATGAGACAAATTTGCTATAGCAGGCATGTCTTTTTTGCTTGTACCATCAGCAATTTTATAAAGGTGCTGTGCAAAAAAATTAGCAGTCACACACACACACACAAGCCCCAACAATTTTTGGAAACATACCTGTTTGAATGAGCCACTCAGCCAAAAGGTTTACTGTCTGAGCTACAGCAGTATAGTTATCTGATAAGAGCTGGATCACATTCTCTGGAGAGCCACCTGCTTGGAAATACCTGTTAAAAGATGCAGGCACCACTTTGAGCCAAACTCTAAAAAATCAAGGAGTATCAAATTTCAAAGTAAATTGCCCCTTAACTGAGCCAGGTACCATTTCTACCATTCCCTCTTCCACCCACACCACCACAATCACCCTGCCGTTACCTTTTCAAAGTATTAAATATGGAGGGCTCCATGATGTAATCTCGGGTGGAAAATTTCTGCAAACATTCCTGCTGGACACCAGCGTCATCTTCTTCACCATATTCATCATCTTGCTGTTTGAAAGTGCAGAACTGCAAACTGTTATTTCCCCCACCACACTGGATTCTGTTATAATACACTTGTTGGCAAAGTTAGCCCCACCCCCACCCCCATTTTGAGGAATGTGGTTAGAAAAAAAACAAAAAAACCCAGCAACACATATTACACTGCTTCATCCTGTGGCTACAGTAACAGCCATACAGGCACAGGAACATAGGATGCTGTCTTTTATTGGGGAAGACTATTGGTCTGTCTCCGGAGGGGAAATCCTCTCCGAGGCGGATTGAGCGCAGCTGAGAGAAGCCTTTCGAGGAGCTGCCGTGTCCCCTGGAAACCCCCTTCCCAGCTCTGCCTCAGCCGCCGCCGCCTCAGTTGCCGCCGTCCCTCAGTCCCTCGCTCTGCTGCCTCCTCCCACCCCCAAAGCTTGGAGGTTCCCCAGCAAGGGGGAGGGAAAAAACTTTCACTTTTGTGCGTCCCTCCCGGCGTGACGCTGCGCGCTGACGTCACGGGGCGGGGCTTTAATGGTGGTGTGCCGCGAGATTTTTTTTCAGTAAACAGGTGTGCCGTTGCCCAAAAACGTTTGGGAAACACTGGTCTAGGTCAGTTTTACCAATGCCTAGCCAGCGTAGGGTGCAACCCAGACAACAAAGCTAATGGTCTGGGATGATGGGATTTGGAGGCAAATAAACATCCAGACCGCATCATGTTTAGGCTACTCCTAGCAGTTCTAGCAACTAGCAGTTCTCCAGAGTCTCTAGCAGGAGGCTAGACCATGGGAGCAACAATAGAACGTCCAGGTGCCCCCTTTTAATGACAAGAATAGTAAAGGTAAAGGTACCCCTGCCCGTACGGGCCAGTCTTGACAGACTCTAGGGTTGTGCGCCCATCTCACTCAAGAGGCCGGGGGCCAGCGCTGTCCGGAGACACTTCCAGGTCACGTGGCCAGCGTGACATCGCTGCTCTGGCGAGCCAGCACAGCACACGGAAAATGCCGTTTACCTTCCCGCTAGTAAGCGGTCCCTATTTATCTACTTGCACCCGGAGGTGCTTTCGAACTGCTAGTTTGGCAGGCGCTGGGACCGAAAAACGGGAGCGCACCCCGCCGCGGGGATTCGAACCGCCGACCTTTTGATCGGCAAGCCCTAGGCGCTGAGGCTTTTACCCACAGCGCCACCCGCGTCCCATAATGACAAGAATACAAAGCTGAAAATGAATGAACTGCAGCTAAAATATTATGTTCATTTCCCACATGGTCTAGTAGTCCTTCCCCTAATGTTCTCAAGAGAGTCTCTTCTCCAGTCTTTGCAAGTGGGGAGGCAGAAAAAGGTCCTCTTTTCCTTCCAACTCTGCAGTTTAAATCTGAAATCTAAGGCGCAGTACTGTGCCCAGAGCTCAGAAACTTCTCACCCTAATGAAATTCCCTATCGCAAAACGCGCCTAGAACGACGGGAGTTCCGAATGGTGTTCATGCAACAACACAACAACAACAATAACAATAACAATAATAATAATAATAATAATAATAATAAAATGAGGAGCAACACTTCCCCCGTTGCCCTCTTGGTGCTGCTTTTGAACACTTTCATTGTGTAAATAATGTCGTCTTGTCTTTTCTTTTTCTCTTTTGATTTTTTTAAATTTCGTATCTTTGTTATTTCTTTAAATTTTTCCTCTTTTTTACTTCTTTATAAATTTTCTATTTTCCACATAATTTTCTTTTTCTTCGTATGATAGCATACAATGTTTGTATAGATATGTAATTTTTTAATCAATAAAGAATAATTTTTTAAAATAATAATAATTATTTACTACCTACAGTTTTCCTGAAAATAAATCAATCCCCCGGGGAGGAGGGGGAAATAAGGTTTCCGGCTTGTGCACAGCCTCAGGGGGAAAAAGGGGGGGGTTGGGGAATAATAAATAACAACAATAAGACCCTCCCCGAAAGATCTCCCTCAACGGTCCCGCTCTCACCGCCCCTCCGTCGCCGCCGCCGTCGTCCCCCCACTCGGCGGCCGCGCTGCCTCCCAGGTAGTCGGGCTCCTCCATGGGCTCCGCTCGACCGCAGGCCACGTCCGCCTCCCCCTCTCCTCCCTCGAAGGGACCTCAGGCGCCGAGGCCGCAGAGGCACGAAAAGGGAAGAGAGGCCACGCGCACGGACGAATTCCGGGCTTCTTCTGACGGTTTCATTGATTCGCCTCGCCCCTCCCCCCCGGGGCGGCTTACAGGTTTATAGGCTTCTTTTCCATTGTCGGTTACTATTCTTAGACTCATTTATACCCCGGGACAAAAAAAAAAAAAGTGGCTTACAGTTTGGTTTGCTCGCTTGCTGCTTATTCGCTCCTTCGTTTCAGAATATTTTGCACACCGTTTGATGGTGTGTGTCCCCCCCCCCGAAAAACCAGCCTCTAAGTGGGTTTAAAGGTAAAGGGTCCCCTGACCATTAGGTCCAGTCGTGGCCGACTCTGGGGTTGCGGTGCTCATCTTGCTTTATTGTCCGAGGGAGCCGGAGTACAGCTTCCGAGTCATGTGGCCAGCATGACTAAGCCGCTTCTGGCGAACCAGAGCAGCGCACGGAAATGCCGTTTACCTTCCCGCCGGAGCGGTACCTATTTATCTACTTGCACTTTGATGTGCTTTCGAACTGTTAGGTTGGCAGGAGCAGGGACTGAGCAACGGGAGCTCACCCCGTCAGGGGATTCGAACCACCAATCTTCTGATCAGCAAGTCCTAGGCTCTGTGCTCACAGTGCCACCCGCGTCTAGCAGTCATGAAATTAAAAGACGCCTGCTTCTTGGGAGAAAAGCAATGACAAGCCTAGACAGCATGTTAAAAAGCAGAGACATCACCTTGCCAACAAAGGTCTGTATAGTTAAAGGTTTGGTTTTCCCAGTAGTGATGTATGGAAGTGAGAGCTGGACCATCAAGAAGGCTGATCGCCGAAGAATTGATGCTTTTGAATTATGGTGCTGGAGGAGACTCTTGAGAGTCCCATGGACTGCAAGAAGATCAAACCTCTCCATTCTTAAGAAAATCAGCCCTGAGTGCTCACTGGAAGAACAGATCCTGAAGCTGAGGCTCCAATACTTTGGCCACCTCATGAGAAGAGAAGACTCCCTGGAAAAGACCCTGGTGTTGGGAAAGATGGAGGGCACAAGGAGAAGGGGGCGACAGGACGAGATGGTTGGACAGTGTTCTCGAAGCTACCGGCATGAGTTTGACCAAACTGCGGGAGGCAGTGGAAGACAGTTGTGCCTGGCGTGCTCTGGTCCATGGGGTCACGAAGTGTTGGACACGACTAAACGACAAGTGAAAATGCAGGGCGGGGGGGACTACAGCCCTACTTAAAAACATATAAAAGTTAAAATGCTAACACCGGATTAAAATAAGGGGGGGGAATCATTTAAAAACAAGCATAGAAAAAACCCCCTATATCTGTCCATACCTACAAAAATAAAATAAATCCCCTAGGAGTTGGCTCCTATGCGCAGCCACGTTAAAGTTGTTTGCATCACGCTCCTGCCTTCTGTAAACTAGGAGGCACTTGAAAATGGCTTCTTGATCTGAACCAAGAATAGCCCGATCCAAAACTAAGGTGGCTCCCTCTTCAATTTGTGCCTCTGTGCCACGGCAAGGTGGTTTGTGGGTAATGGTGGGCGGAGAGGGGACGCCTGTAAGGACCACGTGGGGCTCTAGCCCCATTTACGAGCTTCCAGCGAGACTTCCGGGAGTAGAGCGAAGCTCTTCCCTCTCCGGAGTCGCCTATGATGCCATAGAGATAAGAAGCGGGTATTGCAATAGGGGAGTCAAGGATGGATGCAGCCTGGTTTGCCTCCCGTGCAGGCGCGTGGTTTGCAATGCAACGCTCCCAATTAAAAAAACGCCTGCTGCTCCCACCCTATGTGTAAGGTGCTGGGCTTGGGTGCTTTTCGAACAGCACTGGAGCCCTGCAGGATCCGACCCAAGGACTTATGGAGCTCCTTGTCCTGTTCTCTTAGCACCCAAGCCTACAAAGCAGGACACGAGCTCAGCAGCACACAACGGAGGAAGGGCAGTATTGTCTGCACTGACTGGCAGCAGCTCTCCAGGATTTTAGGTTGGAGTCTTCCTTACCTGGAGATGGATGCCAGGGGCTGGACCAAGGGACCTCTCACTGCAACGGATGCACTCATCCATGGACCCACAGCTCCCGCTTGGTGGGGGGAGAGGACCATAGCTCAGTGACAGAGCATCAGCTTTGGATGCAGGAGGTCTTGGATTCAATCCCTAGCTGGGAAAGAATGAGGCCTGAGACCCTGGAGAGCCACTGCCAATCAGTGCAGACAATGCTGAACCTAATGGACCAATGGTTTGACTTGGTGTTTGGCAGCTTCCTACATTCCCCTCTTGTGCTGCCCAGAAACTGGTATTTAGAGGCACACCACCTCTGATACCAGAGGGAGTACACAGCCTTCATGGCTAAGTCAGAGAAAGCTCTTTCTTCTAGGTCTTGGTCTACCCTCTTTGAAATGTAAGTTACAACAAATAAGAACATTTCAGAGCAAAACTGAAATAGAGTACGAAATAACACAATGAAAGCACATCCATAACATTTAACTTATACATTTCTATGATTCTGCAGTTATGCTTACGTTAAATTAACAAAATATATTAAATGGTTACTTTCTGAGAATATACATCACTTACTTATCATCTAGTTCAACCCTCTGCAATGCAGGAATCTCAGCTAAAGCATCCATGACAGATGGCCAATTTCCCAAACTAATTATGGCTCCTCTCCTTAAAAACCACCAGCTCCAAAACAACCTGACCCCATGGTCTCCTCCCTGTCCCCCCTCTGAGCACAAACTTATTTTGGGACATATGAGTCCACAATTCAAACAACAAACTTTTGGTACTTCAGTTGTACAAGTAAAGCATGAAATGGTGCAACATATTTCCTGTATGATTAATAATGAGATAACACCGGCACAGGACCTAAAACTTTCCACACAATTCTTATTCCCCCTTTAAAATGTTAAATTAAAAATTAAGTTAAACTTTATGGCTTCACAATGTCTCTGACAGGATCTGACAGCCTAAATAATGCTAACAGGTTAGTTTGTAACATCCAGATTGTTAATATTTCATTGCCAAACAACAAGAATGAATGGACCATGCCATAATCAAGGTGCCCAAACAGCAAGGAATATTGAAATAGCTTGTCACTTGCTCTTTGATGAAAGCTCCAAGCTTGCCTTGCACTAAATGGCAAAAGTTGAGCAAGCCATTTCACTTCTCTGAAATTAAGAGTGCAGCATATCCTGCATTCTGTTAATGCTTAAGTTTTCAAGTTTTGGCCCTCCCGGAAACACTTTCCATATTAGTCTGTCTGCAAAATAAGCATATTGGCAAAGACTTAGTATGTAAACTCAGTTCTGTTACTGGTTTAAGTGCTGTGTTATTTTCAAAATCCATATATAAAGAGATTACAGTGGTACCTCGGGTTACATACGCTTCAGGTTACAGACTCCGCTAACCCAGAAATAGTGCTTCAGGTTAAGAACTTTGCTTCAGGATGAGAACAGAAATTGTGCTCCGGCGGTGCGGCGGCAGCAGGAGGCCCCATTAGCTAAAGTGGTGCTTCAGGTTAAGAACAGTTTCCATTTCCTACAAGTCTCTCCTATCAGGGCAATTGTTACTTAAGGTTCTGCGAACGCAGTTTGCGATTACGCTGAAGACCGATGGCGTATTAGTTGTGATCACTGGGTCAGCGTTTACATTTCCTGCTCCTGAAAAGTACCATTTGGATTTTGTTTGGTTTTTCCTCCCAGCTGTGCCTTCTGTCTTGGATGGATAGGATCAGCTTAATAAAAACATCATTGGAACAATAAGGAAGTTGCATAACGTTGTGAAATTGAACCTGTTGTTTATCTACACAACACAGCTGGGATTTTGTCACCGTGACACTTTTATCAACTCAAATGAAATCCATACTGTCAGGGGTTCAGGAGCAGAGGCAAGGGCAAGGGAGGAAACAGAGAGCGAGGGGGAGGAGGCAGAAGAAAAGATGAGTGATGACTACGACCCGAGATCTCCAAGTCTTTCCAGTGAATCAGAAGATTCACAGAAAGGAGCACCAGTGGCCAGGGCAAGGGGGGAGCCTAGGGGGACACCCCAGGAAGATAGAGCTAGAGGGGACTCAGAGGGGAGCAGTTGGAAATCGGGACCAGCGTCACCGCCAGAGAGCAGGGAAGAGGAAGGGCGCCAGGGAGCAAGCGCTGGCAGCTCACAACAGGGGGGAGGGCACGAGTCAGGAGTGGCCACACCTCCATCGGGGAGCGAAGAAACGGTCAGACGGAAAGTGGAAGGTTGGGCGCGCGCGCCAAGTTCAAATGCACAGGAAGGTGGCGCAGTAGGCAGCCCGGAAAGGGAGCCAGGTCCTAAAGCCCGGCGCAAGGAGACAGGAGGGTCCGGGGGGTCGGCGTCAGAAGAATCCCGGAAGGAAGAGACCCCGGGGGGCAGAGGGACCCAGAGAAGAACAGTCAGGCGGAAAAGGTGGAGCAGGGCTAGGATATTAAGTTGGTGTACAAGGGGCGGAGACTCAGACGGAGCTTCGCCGGTCTAGCCATAAGACGTAGAGTTGCACGCAGCAGCTTGAGAATGGAAACTGTAACTCAATAAAGACTTTTATTTAATGATCGCTGGCTAGCGTGATCCTCTGTGAGCTAGGATCTGGAAGCAGCTCTGACACATACCTTTACTCCCTAATCATTGCAGGCAATGTATAGATTGTGTCTACTACATGGGCTCATTTTCAAACTTTTCCAAGGCATCCTGGGCTTTCTTCAAAAGTTATTACAGATTCAAGAACCCTTTGTACATCCAATAATTCACACCCACATGGGTGACGTATGGATCTGTTGGGATATTTTTTCATCTAGAAAAGGGCATATATATATATATATATATATATATATTTAATGCAGATACGTAATAGCATTAGGATAAATTTAAAAGCAGATTTTGAACACTTAAAAAATCTTATAGTCTAAGGAAGGTGTACAAAAATAACTGCATTTATAGAATATTGCCTTCTGCAGCTCAGTGGTAGAGGACATGCTTTATCTGCAAAAGGCTCCCC